CCCTCCCCCTCCCCCTCCACCCGCGGCAGAATCTGCACCCCCATCTGCCGCCCCAACAACCCGGCGTACGCGACCCACTCCTCAACCACCTCCTCCTGTCTCCCGATCATATCACTCACCCATTCGCCCACGACCCGCTTGAAATCCAGCACCCTTTCCAAATCCAATCTCTCCATCTCATCCTTACACCTCTCACTGACCGTCCCAAACAACCTTTCCGCCTCCAGCGCTCTCCCTTCTGCCTCCGTAACCTCGCTTAACAAGCTCTGAAACTGTGCACCTGCAGCGCTCGGATTGGTAGCCTTGTACTTGTCGAACCGTCCTCGGGTGCGACGTAGCTCATCAGCGGCTCGGGCGGATCGAGCCCACACCTCGGTCCGAACCACAAAGGTCTTGCGAATCGAGCCAACCACGCGTTCGTACTCGTACATGGTCGTTCCGAGCGATCGCACGTCGGCTTCGGCTTGAAGGTCGTCCAACTGCATCGCGCGCGTTTGCACCTCGGCCAACCCAGCAAAGCACGTACTCAACGACCTCGAGAGCGAGCTACCCGAGAGCGTGGTGAGCACTTGAGCTAGATCGTGCGTGGCGGTTACGAGCGACTTGCGCTGTGCCGAGAGGGACGAGATGGATTTCACCATCCCCTTGAGCGACGATTCCAGCGAGTCGAGGTACATGCGCTGGTCGTCGAACCACGGATCGACCTCGACGAAGCTCGCCGCCGACAGGAAGCCGGATGAGAGGGAGGAGGACGAGGGAACCACGCTGCCGAGGAGTGCCGATCCCCACGATTTGTACGTCTTTTGTTCGGGCGTGATAATCGGTCCCTTCACCGCATCCCTCGCTTTGACATCGGCTGCAAAGTTTTCGGACTCGAGAAAGAGTCGGAAATCCTCGTCGAGCTGTAACAGCGGATGAGAAGCGATCTTGTTTACACACGTTTCTAGGCCCATCCGTCTCGCCTCGACCAGCTCGGCTGCAAACCGCCCAATGCTGACTTTCTCGGGAACGGGCGGGACGATGATCCCCGGGTTGTTCTGCACCAACGCCGCGTGGAGCCATCGGAAATCGCGGTATCGTCGGAGAGAGGAGAACGACGCGGCCCGGAACGAGGGGTGATCGGTGGTGGTGCGGACGGTGTAGACGATGTGCGCTGTCATAGGGTCGCCGATGCGTTGGGGGTCGCCGACGCGGATGGTAAAGTTGTGCGCGCGCGTGTGGAGACGGATGTAGGCGGCGCGATCGCGGTCGTTCTGGAGGTTGTCGAATGAGGGGCGGTGGTAGAGGCGCGGTTGTGTGCCGTTCGTGGGGGCTGTGGTGCGGGTGTCGTCTGCGGATGGACGGGAGGGAGTGGAGGAGTGAAGGGAGGCTACCGAGCCGGTTAGCGTGGTGGTGTCGGCGTGCGATCGACTTGCACGTGTCGGAGAGGTCGGTTCTGCGGACTGGGGAAACGCAACTTGGTTGGTGCGAGGTGAGGGTTGACCGTACCCGTCGTCGTCCGAGTCCTCGGCGCGTCGTGCAGCAGCCGCACTCGCAGTATCCAGGTACGACTGACCCGAAAGACTCGATTTGCGTGCTGCGCCTCCGAACATGGTGCTTTCGTCTGTTAGCGATGTTAGGCGGGCAGCGCTGCTGGCACTGAGCGAGCGTTGCGGAAGAGTTGACCCGAGTCGTTCCCTCTCCTGGGCAGCTGCGAGGTTCAGAGGGGACTCGTTGACGACGGACCCTGTTGGGGTGGCATCGGTGGCCAGGATCTCGACTTGAGTTCGCGAGGAGGAAGGACCGTCCTTGCTGCTCGGCCGGGGTGGCGTTTCTGGTCTATGGTCGCTTTTGATTGAGAGCGGACGGTGCGAGCTGGTGGGCGAAGGGAGCGAGGTGGCAGGCGGCGTCGGCCTTGCTTGGAGCGAGTTGAACGATGGATGTGGTGATCCGGATCGAACGTCTGTGTCGTTTGTTGCTTCTCCCGCTTCGCTGGTCGTTGCTGCAATCGTCGAGGTTACAGCCTCGGTGGAAGCACCCTCGCTCGGAGCTTCGACGGGTGGCTTATTCGCCGCTTCCTCGGCTTCCTTCTGTTGCCGCGCCTGCTCTTCTGCTTGTCGCTGTGCTTCGGCTTGAGCTTCCGCTTCTGCTTTCTCTGCTGCAATGCGTCGCTCCTCCTCGAGTTGTCGCTGTCGTTCGGCATCTTCTTCTGCTTCGCGCTTTTTGCGCTCTTCTTCTTCCATTTGGCGTTTTGCTTCCGCTTCGGCTGCTAATCGTGCATCTTCTTCGACCTTGGCCTGATGCAACTGTAGAGACGAGATCAGAGAACGATAGTCATAGAGATGAAACACAAATGTCAGCCGGTGGTCAAAAGCAAGTTTGAGATTTCATGATGCTTTGCGTCATACACATGGACGTCACAGCACACGTTCTGCGAGTCAAAGAGTGATCTTCTGCGTACGTACCTCGGCAAGATAGGGTCGCCACCAGTCCTCGAACGACGTATACTCGATGGGCACGCCGTACTCTTCCAGCACCGACGTATCGAGCTTGCAGTGTCTCGGTCGGGCGGTAGCAGCCATGGGGTCGACTTCGTACTCCGGATCGAGCAGGTCGGTGCGTGTCTCGAAGCCGACTGCGTTAGCGACACGGCTGAGCACCATACACATGTCGTACTTGGTCATGGCCTCCTTTGCGCTGAAGTGTGTTGTCGGCGGAGCTGCATTGCGTGTTTCGGCGTATACTTCGGCAAGCTTCAGGATGGCTTTGGCGACATCGGCGACGTTGGTGGGGTATCTGACTGCGTAGGCGTCGCACTTTTTGGGGTTGGTCGAGCCGGCTGGTGGCTGAATGGCGTTGAGAAGCACGTTGACAGCGGACTCGTCGTTGGTGATGGTCCTGCCATATAGCACAGGCACACGAAGATTGGTGAAATGCCCTGGCTTGGCATGCTCTGCCACGGCGCGCTCGCCCTGGAGCTTGCTGACGCCATACGCATTCAACGGATTCGGAGCATCTTCGACTTTGTATGGTGGCTTGGACCCATCGAAGACGTAATCAGTGGATATGTTGATGAGCAGTGGCACCTTGTCGAGCATTGATGCAATGGTAGCGATGCTGGCTGGCGCGTCGACGTTGATGGCCTGAGAAGCAGCTGGATCGTTCTCGACGACGTCTGGGCGTCGTTCAGCTGCAGTGTGGACGATGACGTCCGGCTCGAAGTCGCTCAGGCACGACTCAACTGCAGTGACATCCGTCAGATCGAGCTTGACGAGCTGCTTTTCGGGGTCGGAACGGGTGAATGCAAGCGCCCTGATGTCGTAACCTTTGTCGATACATTGTTGATGAACTGCCCGACCCAGCAGACCGGATGCACCGGTGATGAGCACCTTCATGATCGTCGCTCTCGACGCGGTGCTTTCGATCGAGCTACAAAGATCGAAGGTGGCTGCGAGCGGAAGAGGGTATCGCCGGCGGGCGGATGCGATGATGGAGATGGAGGAAGAGTGTGTTTGCAAGAGGGATTCAAGGGTGCAGCTCGACATCATCCGTGCACGCAGCCGAACAAGAGCAACACGCATCCGAATTTTCGGCGCTCGAGTGTCAGATTCTATGGAAGCGGTCGCTTTTGGCCGCAGAATTGCCCGACGCAGGCTTGCCGCCGAGAAGAAGGACTGACTCGACCATGCCCTCATCCTAACACCATCATATAGACGGGTCTCGAAGCGAAGCATCGCATTGCCTCTGATAGAGCAGCAAACATGACAGCCACAACAAAGGAGCCGATTGCGCACATCAAGGCCGTCCTGTTCGACATGGACGGTCTCTTGATCGACTCGGAGGGAATCTACACCACCGTGGTCAACGACATCCTCAAGCCGTATGGCAAGCAGCAGACGTGGGAGATCAAGGCGAATCTCATGGGCAAGCCTGAGCGTGAGGCGACCTTGACGCTGCTCTCGTCCCTCTGGCCACCCACGAAGGAAGGCGAGGCCTATGGACCCGACTGCCCGTTTGACATCGACAACTTCCTCAAGGACCGCAACGAAGTCCTTCTGAAAGCGTTCGAGCAAGTCCCTCAAATGCAGGGTGCAGCACGACTGGTTCAGCACCTTCACAAACACAACGTCCCTATCTGCGTCGCCACGGGAAGCAAGCGCAGGAACTACGACATCAAGACTGCATCTCACCCTGACCTCTTCGGCCCTTTCGCAGACCGCGTCATTTGTGGTGACGACCCGAGGCTGACGCGTGGCAAGCCGCATCCGGACATCTTCCTGCTCGCGGCACGGGAAGGACTTCTCAGCAATCACCCCAATGACGAGGCGACAAAGCAGAAGCTCGGTGCCCAGTGGACGGAAAGTCTACGAGAGATGGGCCACCACTTCGACGAGGCACACCACCTCAAGGGCGGCGAAGCGAGCATTTTGGTGTTCGAGGATGCGAAGCCCGGTGTTCAGGCGGCAAAGGCAGCGGGCATGCACGTCGTGTGGGTCCCTGATCCGGAATTGAGAGCTCTGTACCCGAGCGAGGAGCTGGGCGCTTCACAAACCATCAACTCGTTGCTCGAGTTCGACCCTTCAGACTGGGGCCTGCCGCCGTTTGATGATCAAAAGTGACGAGCTGCCGTTGGGATGCATAGACACTGGAAGCGAAGCCAATAGACTACATTGCGATGGAACTTCTTGTGCTGAGATCATGACTACGAGACAGTGGTAGATCCTTTGATGCCGTGTTAAAAAATGAAATGGTTGAATGCTTGTCGGGGCGCGAATGGGAAGAAAGTCGAAGTATCTAGTGCTTTTGCTCATCCACCGAGCATACCGTTCATAGCATTGCCAACGTAGGCCATGGGCTTGATGTTGGGGTGAGGCTGGGCCTCGAATACGGTCCAGCCGATGCTGCCCTGATCGTCGATGCGAGCGAAGGCACCCAAGTTGCCCGTCGAGTCACAGTAGTTGGGCGCCGAAAAGATGGTGCAGCATCGACCCTCGTGCTCCTCCTCGTATCCGCCCATACGGACCTCGTGACTTCGCAGTACCGCAGTGACGCCATTGAGCTGGCACCATGCTTTGGTGATGTCGGGCCCAAAACCAAGACCGACACCACGCTTCGAAGGACCGCGTCCGGGTGCCGTCTGAGGGTCGCTCCAGAGCAGCTCCATCATGAGACCAGCTTGACCGGGCTGGCCGATCTTGAATCGATCGATGGCGCGGATGTCATCGAGTGTGACGCCATCCTTTGAGAACAGACCACCGTGAACGACAAAGAAGCGCTTGAAACCGGTGTCTTTCTCCACGATGGGCTCCCGCTGTGCGATGGAGAAGGAGTCAGGCAGATCGCTGCCAGTGAGAGGGGGCTTGCTGGCAGTGAGCAGTGTTGCGAGCGGCAGAGCGATGAAAACCTGCGTGAAGAGCTTGAAGGTAAGATCGCCGCCGAATTTGGCCTTGCATTCGCCTTCGAAGCCATACACCTTGTTCATCTCGGATGTCTCGTGGTTGCCACGGTTGATAAGCGTCGTCTTTGGGTAGAGCCACTTGTACGCAAAGATGGTGAGAGCAATCTCGACCGACCAGGAGCCTCGGTCGACAAAGTCACCGTTGAACAGGAGCGCGTGCTTGTCGCTAGGCTTGCCTGTCTTGTTGAGCAAGTGAATGAAGTCGAAGAACTGGCCGTGGGTGTCGCCAATGACATCGACCGTAGTACCTTCGGGGACCTGGTAGTCCACCAGCGAGGGCTCCTGCTGCATCGCTCGGAAAGCGCCGAGGATGATCTGCCACGAGTAGCGGTTGTGCAGCTTGCCTCCGTTCTTGAAATGCTCCACCATGTCGTCGATGAACTTCTGGTCGATCTTGCCGAGGTGGGCTGTGTCGGCGTCGTCACCATCTGCGATGCGCGGTCCCGTATATGAGTCGGAAACAACAGTGCCTCCAGATCCTTCCTTGAGGTTATTTTCGACGGTCTCTGCTGCCTTGACACCTTCCGAGACCTTGATAGCCTTTTCAAAGTCGAGTCGACGGATCAGCTTGACGGTGGCTTCGAGCTGAGCCTTGACCGAAGCATTCTTGGGTTCGAGCTGGGCGACTGTGCGGAGATCTGGCAATGCTGCCTTGGGATCGAGGATGCTGAGATGTGCGCTCGCTCTGCGGAAGTAGGCTTTGGAGAACTTGGAGTCGAGCTGAATGGCTTTGGTGGCATCCTCTATCGCCAGACCGTGCTGCTCTAGTCTCAACTCGCACGCTGCTCGGTTGCTGTAGAAGGCGGGCACGGAAGGGTCGAGAGCGATGGCGAGACCGTACTGGTGCTTTGCCGCATCGTACTGACCCGCCAAGAAGAGCTTGTTGCCTTCATCCTTGAGCTGTTTCGCCTTGGCCTGCTTCTCCTCCACGGGCAGCGCAATGTCCTCCTTGCTGGGCGAGGGTGGGACGTCGGCAGAGGTCGCCGAGGCTTGGTCGAGGTGAGTCACTTCGGTGTCCATGGACGAGACGGAGGTTGCGATGGGAGACGAGGGCGCAGTCGAGCCGCTCGACGAGGAGGACTCGCCCTGTGCTGTTGAGCCGGACATGGTGGCTGTGATTGTGATGAGAAAGGAGAGGGTACGTGGGAATCCTGCCAGAGCTGACTTCAATGCACTTGCATCAATCAGCGTGGGAAAGCTGCAGAGTCCGTGCTGTGAGGGTGGGAACGCTTCAGTCGGGAGAGCGGGTGATAGCGATGGGTGGGTGGGTTTCTCTGTGATCGAGGTGAACGAGAAAGGAAGAAGGACAGGGAGGGTGGAGGTGCAACGGCGCACAGAGGATTGTGTGTGGCTGCTGTCAAGCCACATCGAGGCACGGAATGGCCGACTTTTTCGCCTTTTGAAGAAAGCTTCTTCGGAAGCAAAGCCGAAGTCGCCGCTCGCTGTCACTGATTTTCGAGAAGACGAAGAAGAAGCGCAAGCCTCGAACGACTCGCTGTGACCTGTGCCGTTCTGCGCAGAGAGGGACAAACACAAACCTAACAGTCTACCACTTTTCGCCTCCACCCTTTCAGCCAGCCAAAACGCGAAGGATGCTGCTGCTTGTTCTGCTGCGAATCCAACACCAAAAACTGCCGAGACCCTGAATTCATCCCACGCTCCTCATGGACTGACAAGCTGTCATGGACCTCATCGACCTTTGTCTTTGGCTCCTCAGCAGCTTCGACGACCCCGCTCACACGACCAGCTCAAGACAAGCGCAGATCAAAGCAGATACGCTCGGCTGTTCTTTCAAAGCATTCTCAGGCGTTCAGGCCATCGTCATGCTTTGACTCGCTCCCTCTTCGAGCCGCTTGACTTGGCGATACCAGCGCATACACGCTGAACAATCGCGTTGTCATGCCGCAAACATCTTCATCGCAGCCATCAGGCTCAAGAGCTCCTGGCGGTACGAATGGAGCAGGATTTTCTCGCCGCCCGGCTCGCAGCGATGGCCTCTTTCTCGGCACCTCACCCCCTTCCAATAGCACGCCTATCTCATCGTCGCAGCCATCGTCTTCTCGACTGGAGCGCGCTCTGGCCACCGAGCGCAAGGATGATCAGGCCGCTAAAGACAGGTCTGCTGCGCGCAAAGCTGCTCGTCGGAAGCGCAAAGAGTATGAGCCTTATCAGGTAAGAGGTTGGGAAAATCTGTATGGAGGAGGCGGAAGTGAGTCAGTCTCTCACCGTTCATCCTCATCCTCCAAGCATCATCAGAAGGCTGCAACCTCCAGCATCAGCACGTCGAACACAGCCTCCGCGCCGCTCTCCTCGCAACCAGTGAGCAGAGCGAATCAGCCGGCTGCTCCTGATCGGAGCAAGGCAACCAACGCACAGCTCCCACCATCGACAGCACCCGCCTTATCTCGAGATCGCTCATCGCGAGAAGCCTCGTCTAGCACTGCAAAACGCAAGGCTCAGTCGCCTGCTTCTCAGCCGAGTCCCACCAAACGAACACGAGCGTCCCGTCGACAAGCCGCTCGGCCACCGACTCCAGATGACGACTCGGACGATGACTTCGAGATCGTTGGCGGCAAGGGTCCCGCCTTCGGATCCGGCAGTGGTGAGCACGTTGACAATGCGCCAGCCATCAAAGCGTCGCCGTCTCCTGTTCGGGCGCTTAAAGCATCTCAGCCAACGCAGCCTGTCCGGTTGCGCCGTTCTCAAAGTCGAGGCACTGCTTCAGGTCGACCATCGCCGGCGGTCCCATCCTCGCCCTCTCTCACAGGCCAAGATCAGAGTGCCGCTGCAGCTCATCCGGCAAGCCAGGCATCTTCAAATTCGAGGAATTCCCGTGCATCAAGTGAGATGTCAAGTGCCAGTTCCACCGAGTCGAAAGAGAGGGAGCTCGAGCGGATCCAGAGCGCTCAGGACGCCTTCAAGCGAGGAACGACGTTCGCGGATCAGATCATCGCTGTAACACGAGAATTCACGACTACTTTGACCGACGAGGACGCAGACCTGGGAGCTATCGAAGAGTTTCGTCGCAAAATTGCGAGCCTGGGTCCACGACTGCAGTCTCGCGATATCATACTCGCCAGGAAGAAGCTTCCGAAGATTCTGCAAAGGCACCTGAACGCGGTCAATTCCGCATGGTACAAGCACACCAAAGGAGATGACAGCACCGAGAGAAGCAACGCTGGGCAGAACAAGCTTCGGACGCTCGAGTCAGCATCTTCTCCTTCGAAAAGCGCAACATCGGCAGCGCCCATGAATGCTGGCCCCTCGGCCGATGCACCCAAGCGCGTGGAGGCTCCGCAACACATCGCTGATCTTGGCGAGCCTCAACAGTCTTCTGCCTCGCGCCATGGTGTCAATCAGAGTCAGGAGGCAGGAGCTACAACTTCAAGCGGCTTCTTGAAGGATACATCACGGGCAGACTCGGACGCCGCACTTGTCGGTACCGACGAAACGGTTGGAGTCGGTCTCAAGACCACGGTGGACTCGGCAGATTCAGAACAAGCATACGAGACTCCGCTCGACGAGCCAAGCGAGGCTTCGAATGCAGATCGACACCAGGATGCGGTTGAGCCTCCCCAGACTGAGCCAGAGGATCCCGAAAGAGGGGCACCGGCTGTCACAGACTCGACGGCAACAACAGAGGAGCAGCCCGAGCCGGAGCAACCTTCTCATCCCGTGATAGAAGAGGAGAGTGAAGGCGAGGAGGAGGGCAACGATGCTGACGAGCAAGAGCAGAGGCAGCCTGATCAAGTTGGTGAGCCAGACGAGATGGTGGAGGAGGAAGACGAGCTAGCAGACGAGCACACCGGAGACGAGCCTGCTGATGCGTCGAGCGACAGTGCAATTGCAACTGCGACTGCTCCCGAGGCTATGGGCGAGTATTCACACGTCGACACCGGCGACAATCGTCAAGACGCTGGTGCTTCTTCGCCGCAGGCTCCAGATATCAGCATCGATGCGGATCAACCCTCGAGCTCAACGAACGACTCAGCAACCAACGACGAGCAGCCACTCGGGACCGGCCAGGACGACCCAAGCGCGTCAGCAAGCGGAAACGTCTCTGACCATGCTGCTCAGCCTGTTCTCGCAGATGCAGCAAATTCGAAAGCTGTCGTCACCGACGAGGAAGAGGCTGCTAACGCAGATGCAGCTGGTCCCGCAGAAGCACAACCATCCGAAGAAACGGAAGGTACGCGCACGATTGCTCAGCAGGATGGGGCGCAGGTAGAGTTGCAGATGGAGCCGTTGGCAGATTCACACAACATGCCACAAGTCGAGCAGCAAGACGACCGTCCAGATCACCATCGCGAAGCTCAGCCCACTGAACAGAAGGAGCAAGACCACATCGACGCATCAGAGCCCCCGCAGGGTGACGCCCCGGCGAACGAACAAGTCATCGAAGGTACGGGCGACATGGCCGCTGTCGATCCGGAGCCGGCCGTGGCGGAGAGTTTCGACGAGAGCTTCACGGGCGGCGTCAATACCCCTATTGATGCGAGCACCGAACAAGTGGCTACCGCCGTCGAGGCAGTCGAGCAAGCGCTCGCAGCAGCGAGCGAAACATTCTCGCCCGAAGCTGTTGACGCCTCCATCAGTGTGCAGGGTGCCCATTCTGCGGCTGAAGATCCGATGAAGGGCGCTCATTCTGCAGCTGGGGATCCTGCCCAGGGCGCTAAGGATGGTGCTGCACCTGCAGGTGACAACGTGCCAGCAGAGGCTGCCGCTGCCAATCCCGCACCTGAGATTGTGACGGACGCGACATCCTCTCCGTCTCCGTCATCACAAGCCGCAGAAGATGATGCCGTGCCACAGGTGGCCGCGACGCTCGCGGACGAAGAGAGACCAAATGCATCCGTCGAGGAGGGCGGGGTTCCAGCACTGCTCGAAAACGGCGTGTCGGAGCAAGCTGCATCAACTGCAACTGCCGGACCCGTTGCAGAGTTACACGACACAGATATGCCAGCTCATGACGACGTCACTTCGATGCCAAAGGAGACGCAAGCCCCGCCTCTGCCAGATTTCGCCGCAGCTCGCGTTGATCCGCCACCCGTGACGACGGAAGAGACCAGCCATGCTGAAGAGCCGACAACAACAGCAGCGCCTGCAGCCGCAGAGAGCCAAGTCAACGCACCTCCAGCAGCCGAACCAGAACGTCGCCAAGGGAGGGAGATCAGCCAGACTGCTTCGGACTCGACGCCAACTTCAAGACCGAAAAGGACGATCGAAGACGGCATGAGGTCCCTGCTCGGCGGACTCGCCGGCGTCACGGGTCGATCATCCTCCTACAAAACGATCCAGAAACTCAAGCCACTGCGAGCCGGCTTCTCAACTCCCGAAACGGTATCCGACCTAGTCCAACACTGGCAAGATCCTGCCAAGATGATCCCATGGACGTGCTTGCAGGAGCTAGGACCCGCCATCTTCCACAAGAACGCACACAGGCACATGCACATCTCCATGCACGAACTGATGGACAAAGTGTCGAGCACGAGATCGGTGACGCATCTACTGGAGAAGCTGCCGGAGCGCGTCATGACGCGGGCGCTGATGGAGTTCCCACGCGTGCCGCACATGCTACACTGTTGGAACGAGGAGAAGAACAAGTACTACGCCTCACGTGGCATGCCTCAGCCGACGGACACGAAGCCGGAGTTCCGCTTCGCGGATCGCGGAGAAGAAAGTGGTGTCGCTCGGGGGACGAGAGCGTCTGCGCCGCCGTCGAGCATCGACAGTCCGATGCAGCTCGAAGTGGCAGATCGGAAGCCTGTACCCATCGCGGCTCCTCCCATGACGCCGTCCTACTCGGCTGCTGGATCCGCTTCGCAGCATCCATCGAACCTGACCAACCCTGCAATGGGCGCGCGTGCACAGATGCCACAAATGCTGCAGGTGGCCCAGCCACAGATGTTGACCGAAATCGGCTCCTCGCTTCTCGCTGCACACCTGGCACAGAATCAGCAGAGAGCACAGGCTTCGGTGGTAGATGTGCAACGCGCACGCGAACACGCGATCGAAACTCAGCGCGCCCATTTGGCAGCAGCAGCGGCGGCGGCACAAGCACGACGTGCTGCCCAGCAACCAACCATCCGCCAAGCCTTCCAGCAGCAGACCTCCCAAACTCGAGCTGGTCCGGAGCAGCTCCACCAAATGCAGCAGGCACAATTGCTACAAGCCCAGCAGGCGCAGCAGATGGCCCACATCCAAGCGGCACAACACCACCAACAAGCACTGCAACACCAGCAAACTCAACAGCTCCACCAACTCTCCGCCACTCGTCAAGCGGCAATGGTCAAAACCGGCACGGAGAGCATCTTCGCCGACCTAGCAGCGGACTGTCTCTCGTTCGCCGAGCACGTGATCGGTTCGCGCGGGAGTAGCGAGGTGAACCTCCAACGGCATTTTAGCGAAGCCGACGTGTTGCATGTGGTTGGGTTTGTGGTCAACACCTATCGACGGGAGTGCGAGGAGCAGGCTGCTGCCGGACACGACGCTAGCAAGGCCAGGGAGAGGTTGGAGGTGATCTCGCGGGTTCGGAACGCAGCGGTGGAGACGATGGCACTGACGCATACGTTGTGTAAGATCAAGATGTGTCTCAACGAGGCGGTGTTTGCGACGCTGCGAAGGACAGGGGCCGCGAGCACGGCAGGGTGGTTGGAGCTGTTGAGGACGAGCGAGAGGTGGAAGGGCGTAAGGGATACTTTGTTGGTTGAGAGTCCGGGATGGGGGATGTTGAATGGGAAGGAGGTGGAGATGATGCTGCAGAGACAGGTCGAGGTGGTGAATAAGAGGTTGGAGGAGATGCTGGAGCGACTGGTGGGGGTGGACGAGATGGTGGGGGTGGTGCAGGGGACGGGAGAGGAGAGAGAGGCGCATGAGGGGATGAGGAAGGAGTGCGAGCAGATCGGCTTGATTTGCTGTAAGCACGTCGTGGGGATCTTGGTGGGCGAGCCGGAGCAGTCGTCGGCGGCGACGGCGGCGAGAGGATGAACTACAGCACTCCTGACGTGAGTTGATACCAGCAATGTGATACTTCACACGATCGTACACATGCACACAACGGAGAGACGGGTGAACGGAGTCTATCGCAGACAGAGCAAAGCTACACAACTTCATCGCTACTGCCCGATCCCGCAGATGCTCAACTCCCTCATCTCCTGCAGCACCGCCTCGACCTGACTATCCAGATGCCCCTCAGCATACTCCTCCCTCACGCCATCGGCAAAGAACCTCTGCACGCCGCCCAACTTCTCGTATCCATCTTCCGCAAACTTCGCCTGCATGCGCACCATAGCCTCGAAGCTCGGATCGAGATACGGGATTCTCAAATCGACCAATTGCGGCAATTCCGTCTTGATCTGCTCGTCCAGCGCTTCAAACACGACCCGTGCATCGTCGAGCTCCTTCTCGGCACGCGGGAGCTTGACGGGGTCGTCGCTGGGTTTCTCCGTCAGCTTGCGATGTTTGGTCCTTGCCGCGTCGTAGTCGGTGAGTTTGCGATTTCGCTTTTCAATGGTCTTGTTGACCTCGGGGAAGTAGCTGGCGAGTTTTCCGATGGGTTCGAGCACCGTTGCGCGGTACGGGGCGTCGATTTCTTTGGCGGTTTTCGTATCGAGTTCGTCGACGGCACGACGGTAGGCATTGGCCGACATGGCCGCATCGGACGAATCGGTGTAGAAACCATCCACCGCTTCTGCAATGCGCGATTGAGAAGAGGCGAGAGATCGGATCGCGTCAAGGTAGGCTTTCGCTTCCTTTTGCAGGGATGTCACCTCGCGTTCAAGGGTGCGATATTGCTCTTCGGTGGAGGAGAATTCGGTGTCGACAGTGCGCTCGACTTGACCCGTCTTTTGCATGAGAGACGTGCCCGCCCGGTTGATCGACTTTTTGAAGCCGCCCCACGACATGATGAGCGGACGACTGGGCTGGGAGGCAAGGCTGTGAGAGGGTTGGGGATGGAAGCTGCTGAGATGTCTTTTCAGTTGAGCCTGCCGGGAGTGTACCGGTGAGATACGAAGAGGACAGCGCGCAGCAGTCGATTGAATATGGAAGATGCCTCGTGCGCGGGTGGATGGAGTGGATCGCAGCTGACGATGACCGTGCGGGCAAAGAAGGTTGAGATGATGGCAGTGAGCGTAAGCGGGCAAGACTGGATTTCAAGCCGATTTCTAGTTTCAACTGGAATTCTGCCTCCACTCCGGCAGTGTGTGCTGATGGGCTGTGCACGGATCCAGATCGGGTCGCTGCTGCTGAAGCTGAGCTCGAGGTGATCCTGGACCCTGACTTGCGCATCACAGATGACATCCAAACATCATCCTCCTTCCACCATCCATCGCGAGCATCGTCAGCGGCACCATCGTCATCTGCAGCATCAAGGACTCTCATCGTCTGCAACACCTGCGCTGCCACACTTGCGCACCTCCTTTATCCGAGCACAGCGTCTCCCTCGTCCCTATAGACCACCTCAATCAGGTGCCGCAACCCTGCACCATGAACCGCCTCTTCGGCAGCAAAGCGGCGAAGCCCAAGCCCTCCCTCACAGACGCTATTGCCTCGACCGAAACACGCGCCGACTCGGTCGAGGTCAAAATCCGCAAGCTCGACTCAGAACTCACTCGCTATCGGGATCAGATGCGCAAGATGCGCGATGGACCTGGCAAGACGGCGATCCAACAACGTGCCCTTCGCGTCCTCAAACAAAAGCGACTCTACGAAAACCAGCTTGCCCAACTCCAACAACAATCGTACAACATGGAACAGGCGACCATGACGACGGAGAATCTGCGCAATACCATGGCCACGTTCGATGCCATGCAAACCGCCAACAAGGAGATGCGCAAGACATACGGCAAGATCGATCTGGACAAGATCGAAAGTATGCAGGATGAGATGGAGGATCTGATCGAAGCGGCGAACGAGGTGCAAGAGACCTTGGGGAGGAGTTACGGCGTACCGGATGAGGTAGATGAGGAAGATTTGCAGGCGGAACTGGATGCGTTGGAGGCAGAGGGCGGGTGGGAGGAGGAGGGCGAGAGTGTACCGAGCTATTTGCAGAGCAATACCGAGCTGCCCGACTTTGTGGATGAACTGCCCACGGACGGGTCGGCCGAGGAGAACAAGGTCGAGGCGATGCGCGCTGCGTAACAGGCACGAAGCGGAGATGCGACGGTCGAAGCCGTCACGGTACCCAGCGTAGGGAGGAGACTGCTACATTGCCGCCCATTTTAGAAGCGGTGCTGGCAATCTTCGTCGTACGCAGTCTCACGGACAGCTCATGGGATGTCAGCTGCAGCCCCAATCGTTTTTTTCGCGATCCAGATGCCTATCACATCAACCTCCTGTACTTTTATCTCACACTCGAGAATTTTGTTCCACAGCACGTTCATGGTTCGTCAAACTAGGTATATGGCTGTGTAGGAGCGCTTGATCTCGTGCTAGGCTGGTTCATCGCGAGTGGGGCATGGTCAGAAGGCAGCAAGTCTCGAGGGATCAAAAGCCTTCGCTTGATGGGGGCACAATGTTTCCAGCAGGCAATAATCATGCCAAAAAAGGCGGCTGAAAAAATGAGGTCTAAAAAAGGGCTCCCTGTCCGCTGTCTCGTCAATCACGTCTTCAGTCAAACGACGACGACGACGACGACGACAATCAAAACACACGCTGCGATCATGCCAGACACTCAGTCGATGCTAAGCATACTTGTCATTTCGCCCCTCAACAGCATCCAGGACATACGTGCAGCTGTTCATGTACGAACGCGTCGCACTCGAGACAAAAGTCCTTCGCACACCGCGGACACCTGTATCTCGAACTCGCGCTCAACCCCGCCTCTTCCAACGCCTTGTTCGCGGCCGCGCTCCTCTCCTCCGTTGGGAAAGCCACGTTGCACGAGGCGCACGCTGGTTCCGAGTCCTCCGTCACGCTCGACCAAGGCACAGCTTTCCAGTTGGGCACGGGGAACAGGTGGTGATACGATCGCGCCAGGTGGGTCGACATGACGATCGTCACGCCGCACACCGGACAATCGGTGGGTACATCGCACACCTTGACGTTGCAGCGCGGACAGAGGTAGCCCGAACCGCGGGAGCGAGAGTGGCATGCGCAGAGAGTGGGTGCTGCGTGTGCGGGCAGGCGCAAGGGAAAGGCCATCTGGAGGAGGTCTACGCCTGTTTGTACTTCGTCTTCGTCTGTGACGGGACGACGTTTGGTCCGTCGTGGACCCTCGACTGCCGGCGGAGGGACAAGGTCAAAGAGCGAATCGTGAAAGTGACCCTCGTTGAGGGCCACGCTGAACGTGCCACCCGTCCGCGTGCATACGTCTTTGAACACTTTGACCTCCGCCGCGAGGTGAACGATCGAGACGCGGATGTTGTCCTTGACGAGCGTGCTGATGGTATCGTGGATGTTGCCGGGATCGCATGTTGTCAAGCTGCCGAAGATGGCGAGGATCTCGCGCGAATTGGATGCCGGTAGGTGGACGAGACTACTCCTCGCCATCTCGAGTGCGTTTTGCAGTGATGGCTCGCCTCGTGGCTCAAGTCTTCGTTTGTTGGAAAGCGAAGCGGTGTGGTCGATCGTATTGCCGCCCATCATGGCGAGTCGTTCTGCGATGCCTTCTCGTGTGCCAATGATGGAGAGTTGGCCGATGGGGTTTTGGTCAAAGTACTCGCCGACGAACTCGCGTGCGTATTGTAGCGTCACATCGAACCGATTTGGCCGCATATCCTTCTCGAGCATGCTGGCGGATAGATCGACGAGAAGGACGAGATGCCGGATGATACCTCGTTGGACGGGTGCAACGTCTTTGAGTGTCCGCCTGCGTTTGGACCCTTCGATCATGGATCGGACGGCGCTCTCGAGCGAGCCCGAGTCGTCTTCTGCTACTGCGTCCCATGATCGCTTGTACGTGGCCTCCCATGAATAGCCCTGATCTTTTTGTTTCGCTTTCGCGTTGGCTGCTGCTTTGACTCGAGCGGCTGTGCTTGCCGAGGAGGACGATGCACCCGCTGCCGATGGCCCTGCCTTGCCGTTGGATCCAGCCGCGTTGGAGCGTGATGCGGCCAGTGCACCACGTAATGTTCCCAGCTTGGGTAGCGATGGTGCTGAGCGGTACTCGTCTCCGCTGTCGTCGTCGTCGAGAAAGTCCTCGGCATCGTAGGCGTCGGCTCCCTCGTCGACGTATTCGTCGTCTGCTATGCGTGGTGGCATTCTGAATGGAGCTCTGCCGCTACAGACTAATCGACAGCCTCCTCGCTACCTGTGCTCCCGTCCCGAGGCGTTGAAAATAGCTCGTCCGCAGCGCGTTCCCGAGTTAGATGGTGGTGCTCAGACGACACCGCATCGAGTCGAAGGATGTGTCACTTTTACGGCCTGGTCGGAAGCTCAGCTGTCGAGCATGTGGAGTTGAGCCAAAAAATAATCTCCAAAAAATTGACTGGGTCTAACACATTGACAAAAGTCTCAAGAGTCGGCGCCAAACCTCTCCAAGTTCGAGTCGCGTCGAGGCTGCGCTGAATGCCGTTGGATCACCACCACCATCCATCTCACGTCTTCGCATCCCTGCACAAAGTGCCGCAACGCTCGAGCACCCGCTGAACACCTGCACAATGAACATGCCACCGCCACACGGCCCCGGCGCGGGTCACCCAGGTCACCCAGGCATGGGCCCATCAGCCTCGCCTTCCCCTGGCATGATGTCCCGACCTCAACCGCACCAACAATTCGTCCCGCAGCACCCTTCCCAACAGCACTACATGGACTCGCCCACGCCTTCCTCCAACCGTGGTCGCAAGCGCAAGCTCACCGTCCAGCACGGTCACCAACAACACCCGCACCCGCACCAGCAGCAGCCGCACCGCCGACCGTCGATGCACGCCCCGCACGGCCACCCTCCGCACCCCGGCTTCCCCGGTCGACCCATGCCCCCATTTTTGGGACTAAACCTGCCCCCCACCATCGCGGACGAGATGTCCGAATCCATCTTTGACGATCTCGACCGTCTCACGCCGCGAGACCTCGCCGTTGCACGGTACGCCAAGAACCACGAGCTGCTGAGCATGGTATTCGACGCAAGGCGGATCGATACGTTGACGCCTGCGCCGTCTCCGTATGCAGATGTGAAGGAGGAGGATCTGAAGTCGAAAGTGGAGCGTATTCAGGAGGAGACGGCGCAGATGGAGAAGGAGCACGCGGAAAAGCTGAGGCTGCTGCGCGAGGGTGCGAGCGCCAAGAAGGGGGCACCGGTTAAGCAGGGTGAGGCGGAGACGGACGTGCCAGTGTGGGGAGAAAACGCGTCGAGGGGTCGGATTTTGGGTGTTGGATTCGTGCGTGCTGAGACGCCGGAGGCGCTGCGACCGCCCAAGCCTGTTGCGGAGGGTGGGGATGAACAGATGAAGACGGTGGAGGAGAGCGAGGAGGACAAGGCGATGGAAGCAGAGCGCAGACAGGCGGAGAAGGAGGCGATTGAGAAAATCAACCTCGAGCTTGGGGTGACGCAGCCCCCGGTCGAGGTCGCTGCTCCTGCGCCTGCTCCTGCACCCCTGCCTGCACCAGCGGCGGCGACAACGGAGACTCCGATTGGTACAGAGACAAGTGCTCCTGCAGAGCCCGCTGCTGATGCTGCTGCAACGACCGAGCAGACGAGCACGGAGATCAACCCGCCCGTCAGCGCCGCGGAAGAGCCGCCTGCTGCACCCGTCCTGCCGCACGCCGAAACGCCGGCTGATGCTGCTGTCCCCGAGCCTGTCATTGCAGCAGAAGAACCCGCTCCCGTCGAAGCAGCCGCACCAATTGCACCAGAGAGCTCAAGCGAAGCCGCTGTCGAGGCGCCCGCCGCGTCAGCCGACACAGCAGCCGCAGTGCAAGCAGTAGCCTCGCAACCAGACACGCTTGCCGACGTGGCCATGCTCGACCAGCCCACGGCGCCCCCAGCGGAGGAAGCGGTGCAGGCCATCGCCGATGCTACCGACGTGCCTGTCGAGGAGGTCGTCGAGGCTGTTCAAGACGCTGCGCCCGAGGCCGTCGTCGCCGCGGAGGTCGAGCATGAACCCAGCACCGACGCATAGCTTTCTATCGCAATGACAAATTTCACACACAGGACTGAGATCGAGAAACAGTGCGAAGCAATCCAATTGCAGAAAACTCAAGTGAACTTCTTATAATCGTGCGTCTCGTATCCTTTGATCCTCCTCGTGCTTGTCTTGGCGACCTGTTTGACCCTGGGTTCCACCACGCCCCTTGCCTGCATCCTGTTGTACCTGTCTCTGAAGAGATTTCCTTCGGGCTGAAGCGCGCGCAGACTCTCACTGAGCTGATCGCCCGTCTGAACATCGATCGTCTGCTGTGGGACTTTGTGCTTGCCCACCTTGACTCCCGACAAACCCTGTTTGGCGAGGAGGGCTTCTTTCTCCAGTCGGCGTGCTGAAGCGGCCTGGGAGCGGGCGAGTGCCAGGCGCGCCTGACGACGTTTCTCCGCGGGCAATTGGAGGATTGCTGCTGCCTCGATGCGGGCTTGCTTTCGACGGGCTGCTTCGGCTTGCTGTTGTCGAGCACGTTTGGCACGAACTCGCTGCGCGCGAGTTTTGCGCTTTCCCTCAATACCGGCTTTCTCATCTGAAGAGTCCAACTCCTCCCTCTCTCCCTCCGATACCTCCTCCTCGGAGGCGTTGGGAAGGTCAACATCCATGCCACGATACCGTTTGAGCTCATCATCCTTCTGTTCGCGCAGCTCCGCTTCACGCGCGATGATAGTGGCGAGCTTTCGTTGCCACGACTCGCGTTCGCTCTGCGCCATCTGTTCGCTCTCCTCGAGTCGACGCTCGATCTCGTACGCCTGCTGGATGAGGGCTTCGTGCGACTCGAGTGTGGGGTTGTACGACGAGCCTGGATGAGGCAGGTCAATCGCCGGGAGGCTTGCGGCCGTATCGTGGTCCGCCCGACGCAGCGTCTTGGGTAGGGAAGGAGTGGGTTTGGCAGAGGTCTCGGGGATCCAATCCGCCTTGGCTTTGCCTTTGCCTTCACCGCCCCAGACGTCGTACACCCCACCCAGGGATTTCTTCACCACCTCATCACTCCCAGCGGCAATGGAGGAGGCGTCACCCTGAGTGGTGTGCTTCTGACGACCAACCATCTTGCGCAGCCGCTCCTGCGTCTTGCGGTCGACAGACTTGGACTTGCGCACCGGGTTGAGGGCGGAGTGGCCATAGCTGTTGGAGAGGATCTCGAGCGATTTCAATGGCTTTTTGGTGCGCGCTTGTTTGGCGAGCAGCGTCTCTTGACCGGAGCGGTCTTCGACGAAGAGCACGTCAGAGGCGGTGGAGCGAAGCGGGTCGGACTGGGCATCGAGGAAGGTCTCGGTGGTGGTCAGGTCGATGTTCTTGCGCCAGGCTTTTTTGCCTTTGCGAGAGGATTGGGCGGGTTGGGCGGGTTGGCCCGTGGTGGATTTTGTGCGTGTGGGTGCCATGTTGGCAAAGCTATGTTCTGAGCTGCTTCAGGTGCAGATTACAGCAGCAGTGTGGTGCGAATCTGAGGTTGCACCGTCGTTGATGAAGAAGGGACGATGGTGGAAGCTTGATGTTGGAGAGAAGGCAGCTCAAGGGACCCTGAGCGAGCGTTGTGGGGAGCGAAGAAGAAAAATCTGTCCAAAAAACCAAAAATTCTCGGCAGACGGGCGGCGAAAAGGAAAAAAAAGTTGAGCGAAGCAGCGCAGCCTTGAGAGGCGAGGTGGAGTCTTGAGAAGAAAGTCGGTGAGCTCGAGGTGTGGCTCAGAAGGTGGACAACGAGAAGGGCTTCGTCGACGACAACGACTTCCATTCGACGCTATTCAGCAAGTGACGCACCACCCTCGAGCTCAACCAAACCTACCACTTGTGATTATCGCCACAATGTCGGACAAAGCCGCCTATCTCACAAGCGATCAGATCGACGACCTGCTCCTCTCAGCACGCTACGGCGATCTCGAGGACCTCGAATCCACTTTGTCACCGCTACTTTCCTCCTCCTCCCCTAGCGATCTCTTGGCGAGCATCAAGAACGATTCGGCAAACACACTTCTCCACTACGCCTCGGCAAACGGTCATCTCGAGATCGTCACCTACCTCCTGCCGCACATCACCCTCCCACTTGCACTTGCGCAGAACGAGTCGGGCAACACACCCTTGCACTGGGCCGGTCTAAACGGCCACCTTTCCGTCGTCCGCGCGCTCGTCTCACACATCGAGTCGCTCGAGCGGGCCAACCCCGAAGAAGCCAAGCGCATGAACGTCATCTTCCACCCACCAACATCCTCCTCAACCGGGGAGGAGAAAGAGGATGATGGGTCGGAACGCAAGCTCTGGGACGTGAGGAATCGCGCCGGTAGAGGTCCCATGAGCGAGGCCCAGATGAGGGAGCAGGAGGAGGTGGTCAAGTTCCTGTTGGAACGCATGATCGATGGGCCCGAAGGATCGACGTTGCAGCCCGCCGAGCCGATGCCGGAGAAACCGTCGACCGAGACTACAGCAACGGATGGCGTGGAGCAGCAGACGGCCAACCTCAGCCTCAACGGTGATGACAAGCCATAGATTCGACTCCACTCATGTATTTTTACCGCTTCTTGCATTGTCAAACACTTCACACTGTTCACGTTCCGATATCGGATGATGTGCTTGTACTACGAGCGATGAGCTACACGGATCTACGTAGCTCGGGTGACTGCACGACAGGCAAGCTCTTCAGCGAGCAATGCACGAGTCGAACAGCCCTGAGGATGGTCGTTGAAGTGAGATTCTGAGCCGTCCGTTTAGATGGCCTTGCTCTTCACCAGGTTCTCGATCTCAGCAACGGCGTTGTCCAGGATCTGCTTCTGGAGCTTGTCGTCCTTGAGCGAGTCCTGCACCTTCTTGATGACGCTGGCGGCCAATTCGCGCTGCTCCTGCTCGCGCTCGCTCGCCTCGAAGCGCACCCACGAGTCCAAAACGCTCTTGACCTCCGAGGCCAGCGCCGTCTTTTGTCGCAACTCAAACACCTCCTTCTCGGTCTGTGCGGTTTCCTTGGCCACCGAGTAGAGCGCCTGGGTCAAGCCCACCACGTCCTTCTGCTGCTCTACTGACGAGATTCGTGCCTGGACCGCCTCCGTGTGCTTGGCGCGCGCGCCGTTGAGGATTTTCGAGATTTTCTGTTCAAGTCAAGAGGGAGGAGAGGTCAGCATGGTTTCGTGGGTGAGGCAAGGTGAGAGGCGAGCATCGCAGCAGCAGGTCGGGTGGATTGAGTGAGCGTCGCAAGAAACCTCGAGTCGGATGCGAAGGTGGTGGAACATGGCGTAGCGACTTAGGATAAGCCAAATCGCTCTCGGTTGCCGATGCCAACATCGCGCAGGAAGGGCTTGACGTTGTCGCGGACATCGACGTGGGCGCGACTCGCAGGTCATGCCCATCTGATCCGACATAAAGTCCATTCGTCCGAAGCGGCCAGCAAAAGCTACGCGAAGTGGCCGAGGTGTCCAACCAGATTCCGTCATGCATTGGTCCGCCTTTGTCCTGGATGGTGAGTTGAGCATTGTTCCCTCGTCTCGCCAGTGCATGCGTCTGTTATCCAGCAACGGCACAGCAACGACAGGTGTTGTGAGGGTGGCTTCTGCAATAATTCCACTCTGTCCGATCCTATGCGTAGCGGTGATGATGTTGCAGGGTCCACGTCCAAGCTGTTTCTGCTGCTGCGATGCTGATGCTGCTGAATACCTACCTCAATCTGGCCGTCGGCCCACTCCTTGTAAGGGCCGGTGATGGCGCGACCGACGAGGACAGCGAAAATGAGCGAGCCGACGAGGATGACAGTCTCCTCGTTGGCGACGTAGATCTCCTTGCTGATAGCGACGGCGGTGAGACCGGTGCCGAGGGTGACCCAGCCGGTCTTGCTAACGAGCGAGTTGCCAGGCAGAGAGTCGAGGATGGAGCTGGCGCGTGCCTCGGGCGAGGGCTTGTCGCTGTAGAGTCGGATGGCGGCGATGGCAGCCGGGCGGGGTGCGACGGTGGGTCGCGCAAGGGCGAGCACGGGCACCCGACGAGCAGCAACACGGTACGACATGATGAAGGAAACGAAATGTAGGATGAGGGGTGGTGAGGTTGAAGAGAGGTGCGGATGATGGCGACGACGACCAAACCTCGAATCGAGCCAGAACCAGCCAGCCAGCCAGCCTCGAGCCAAATTGGAAGATTCGCAGGTGCGAGGCGCGATTGGCCTGCTCGCTGCCTTGGCCTGGCTCGATGGTGCGTGCTTCACTCTCCATTCGCAGTGTTTGGCTTCAACGTGCGCTCTGCTGCCGTTTTCTTCCTCTCTCGAATCTGCCGGACGACTCAACGGGCTTGCCTCGCTCCAATTCAATTGGTCATTTCAAACCGCTCTTTTGCGAAATTACTCGCAACTGATTTTTGTATTTCGCCAACTTGCAGTCTAAATTGTGAGCGAGTTGGAATTGGAGGAAGAGGTTCAAAACCTGGAAAAGGTCGAAATCGATCACGAATCGGACTGGGAAGCAGCGCAGGAGCCTGTTTGTTCCGCTGCCGGAGCCGAGTTGACGCGACTAGGATCGACATCGGGCCCAGCCGCAAGACAAAGGATGTATCGGACGATCCAGCTGCTTCTTCTTGATAGGCACCTCGGCAAGCGTGTTGCTGACTGACTGCCCTTACTGCCATGCTGAACCCTTGACCTGCCAATCAACGCCCAAATCCAGCTCTTGTGACATCTTGGGTTCTGAGCATGGTCATGGTCTGCGAGCTTCGATTGCAAGCAAGCATGAGGTATTTGTACCGTCGATCGAGTCTTGCCATGGGCTCCAAGAAGACCAGAAGATTGCGCACAAGCGATTGGGCGGCAGTCGAGGAAGATCTGCTGCTCGGAACGCGAGCTGAGTGAGCATATGATTCATTCGGTAAAACTCTCTCGAGCTCGCATCTACCGACTTTATGTCGCCTCTCCTTTGTCTCTTTGCTCGCGTGGGCCGAGCAGCCTACTTTTTAGCACTCGTGGCTGCTGGTGACGAAGCTTTGATAACGCGCAATCGTCCCAGCGGCAAGATGAGCTCACCACTGGCCTGACGAGCTGTCAGTTGAAGTCATAGAGCCAGCAGCTCACCTCTCGTGCCTGATCCGCTGAGAGCTCGAGAAGATGTCGACTTGGCTCATATAAGAAGCTTTCGAAGCGACTCACATATCTTGTACTTCTATTGCTCTCAACCTCAATCCCGATCCATAACTTCGTCAAGATGTCGGAAGCATATGCAGGAAAGTCGGATCAGCAGATCATCGACGAACAGGTGAGTGGCGTGTCAAGGCCCGGCATCTCCATCAGCAGCAGCCATTCTGACAAACTTCTTATACTCTGTTGCTTCGCTCAGTTCCGTGACCTGGATCACAAGTCGGACAGCCGTCTCAAAGACTCCTTCAACCCCAAGACGACCGTCACCTCGGAAGAGTCGGGCGTCAACGAGTCTGGCCTCGAAGGCTTCCCTGGTGCCGCTGTCAGCGTAGGTCGCACTGGCCAGACTGGCGGCGGCACCAACCCTCAGAACATTCCTCCCGAGGAAGGCGGAGACGACCGATCGCAGCGTACTGGCGAGTCGAGCATCCGCTTCGAGGGCACCGGCGGTCCCGAGGACAAGAAGTTCGAGGCTCTACGCGACAACCCTGGAGGATTTGATGCCAAGCCTCGAGGCATCGATGAGACGCGTCAGCCTCAGCTCAACGAGCCTGTGCCCCAGACCGAGCCACAGCGTCTTGAGGCTGACCAGGAGGGCACTGCTCGAAGCCATGTCATCAACTCGTAGTGCGATATCTTCGTTGTAGCAGTGGATAATGTGTAGCGATTCCACCGTCCCATAGAGACCTATGACGTTGGCATTGTTGCGGCAGAGCATTCATGAGATCATTGAGATGGTGTCGTAGAGCGAAGAGCGAGTCGTTCCCGAGCCAAGAAGCAAGTGCGCTCAAGTCCGAAACCAGACTCTAACACGCCTGCACTTTTTCTCGCGCCTCTGTTTCACGCCCAAAGGCCGGCTTTGTGTCAGAAGCAACAAGTGCGGGAGTGAACCGGCTTTCAAAGACAAGGCTTCGAGCCGTAGGGCCAGACCGGATTGACTTTTGCCTGCGCATGATTCGCTGCGCTGCGCTGCTGCCCCATTTTCCGCCCGGGTCCATCGCCTGGCCTTGCATGAGAATGAGTCTGCTCTCGTGACTCTGACAAGGAGGAGAGGTCCGTTCGCTAACCGGTAAGTCCCCTGCCAATCAACTCAAGCTCAATCTCGTTCGAAGCTCGCATCAAAGCTTCCCCGCAACTGACTCACTCGCTTCTCGCCCTTTCATCACACCTACGTCCTCCTCCTTCTCCTTTCGTCACGCCTTCCCTCCTCTTCTCGTAGCACACCGCAAGCATTGATCGGAGCAAACGACAGATTCTCCTTCACGCCCAATCAAGAATCGGATCAAGAAATCGAGCTTTCCGAACGTCACGTTTGCATCCATCTCGAAATCGGAGCATCCGTCTCATCGGACTGTACTATCCACAGAGATCTTGATTACGCCGCGCATCCATCCGTAGACGACATCGCAGCTATCCGGGCAAGCGGTCAGCCAGCACGCCAAGCAAGCTCCATTCTCGCTACCACAGCGGCTTCTAGTCACCGTTCCGGCCGTGACTGTGCGTCCTCAGACGCCTCAAGCGAGTCCGATCCGGCGCCAGCATACATCTTTGGCTGAGCAGCTCCACCCACACAAACACGGTCCTCGCTCACTGCCCATATCTCGGCTGCTCTCAGCCAAAGCTACATCACGATGAGCTACCAAATCTCACAAAAGCTGTGGTCGCAGCTGCACCACTTCGCAAGCTTCCCACAGACCGGCATCTCGCTCCGTCAGATGGTGCAGTTTGGGCGCAATCCGAATCCAGGCACTATCCTCCAAGCAGGTAGCTTCCTCGCAGAAGAGCTTCCCATTCGACTGGCGCATCGTGTTAAGGAGCTGGATGAATTGCCACATGACCTCTCCAAGATGCCCTCGATCGTCAAGGTCAAGAACTGGTATGCACAGTCCTTCGAGGAGCTCGTCGAGTTCCCCAAGCCGCAGCTTCCCGACTCAGTACAGAAACTTCTGCAGAACGCAGCCAAGAACGCCGAGCCTCTTCCGCAGTCCAAGCCAAATCCCAGCCTGCTAGAGTCGGCCACGCTGACCGACAGCGATGACAGCCTCGCAAAGGCGCTTGTACCGAGAAATGGCAACGGCAAGAACGGCAACGGCTCAAGATCACGCGCTCTCCTCGAGCAACGATATTATGCCAATCTGCCAGATCAGCAATGGCCCAGCGAGATCGAGCAGTACAATGAAGACTTTACAAAAGCCCTCGAGAAGATCAAAAAGAGGCACGATGCCGTCGTCACCACCATCGCCCAGGGCGTGCTGGAATACAAGCGATCAAGAAAGGCCAACCGACTTCAAGCGGACGTGCAATCCTTCTTGGATCGTTTCTACCTCTCGCGTATCGGCATTCGTATCCTGATCGGTCAGCACATCGCCCTCAGCCGTTCCTCGCAACAGCCATCCTCCAAGCTCATTGGCAGCGGCAGCAGCACCAACAGCAACGGCGACTTTTCGCTCTCGGATCAGATCGCCCGCGTCAAGGTCGATGGCAACCAGGAGCATGAGCAGTACGTTGGCATCATCTGCACCAACACCAATGTGGGTGCTATGGCGCACGAAGCTATCGAGAACGCACGATTCGTCTGCGAGGAGCACTACGGGCTGTTCAAGGGTCCGCCTGTGCAGCTTGTCTGCCCGCCCGATCTCACGTTCATGTACGTGCCAAGCCATTTGAACCACATGCTCTTCGAGCTGCTCAAGAACTCGCTTCGAGCCGTGGTGGAGCGTTACGGTGTGGAGCAGGAGGACAATTTCCCGCCCATCAAGGTCATCGTCGTCGAAGGCAAGGAGGACATCACGATCAAGATCAGCGACGAGGGTGGAGGAATCCCACGCAGCGAGATGCCGCTGGTGTGGACCTACATGTACACCACGGCCCAATCGGAAGACTTGGACCCCGAGTTCAATGCTTCCGACTTTAAAGCGCCCATGGCCGGTTTCGGTTACGGTCTGCCACTGGCACGACTGTACGCTCGCTACTTTGGCGGTGATCTCAAGCTGATCTCGATGGAGGGCTATGGCACGGATGTGTACCTGCACCTCAACCGACTGTCATCGAGCAGCGAACCGCTGCCGTAGCATGCGGCTCGGTCCAAATACGGCAGGAAGCACAACCGCACCATTCGAGAGATTGAGGCCAGGGATCGCGAGGGGCAGCAGAGTGGCAAGGGGAGCAGCAGATCCAATTCAGAACAAGAGCAGCAGCCAAAGCAGCAACCGTCGCTGTTGGATCTGCACCCGCACGCATACTCGCCGTCGTCGACGACCGGGCCTGGATTCTCCAGCCGTTTTGGACCTGCCTCTTCTTCCTCTGCAGGCGAAGGTAGAGGAGGAGGAGGATTGAGCTGGCTTTTGGCATTGTTGCCGAGAAGCTGGCAGCAGAGGCTGGATCCGCGACAGCCAGCGCCTTCGGGAGGTTCCGACCGAGGAGGAGATGGTTCTGTCATCGATCTTGGCACGTCGGAACCGCCCGCCAGCAGCAAGGAGGACACGGCCGAGCGACGACTTTGAGAGACATCCTCTCGCTCTCTCGCTCGCCAGACTTTCTCTGCTGCTGACGAGAGAACAAAACTTTACCTCCAACATGTACAATACCCGTCTCGTCCATCTTGCAACGCCATGTCATGCATTTGTTTCACGAACATCACCGATTCGTCTGTAATCAAGACGATTTTGTGCTTGACGGACCGGAAGGGGCACCTCTTGGAGTTGGAACAATGGTGTGCTACGAGTCAAGGTCGAGTTGGAGCGCCAATTAAACCCAGTGGCCGAACTTAACGGAATTGAAGACGACAATGAGCACGCACGAGAGGTCTGTCTTGCCAGCACGCTGAAACAGCGTTGAACGATGAGGCTCGAAGTGCCATATCGACTCAGCTCACAGATGCGTAGCGTCACAAGCGGAGCCAGCAAAAGCGATTTGGCGGAGCCAGCCAAAGAATCTTCCGCATGCTGGATAGCGCCGAACGACAAAGCGTTGTGTGTGTGCCCATCTGAGTGGCTCCGCGTGGCGCCAAAAGCACTTGGCAGAGCCAGCCAAAAGCGTTTTGCTGCTGCTGTCATGCATGCCCCTGAAGCCAGATGCAAACAATCACGGCGAGGTCCGCAGCCGTGCCTCGCGCGCTCCAAGTAGAGACATCTGTGCCAACCGCAGATCGATCTGATCTACAGTGCAGCGGAGTCGACATCGCCTCTGAACCCCAAGGTTGAGTATGCACGCACGCACGCGCAAATGCACAGCCAGCCAGAGCAGTGCCCCGGCTTCTCATATCTGCGGTCAACTGCACCTCGCAGATCGCATCTGAGATGTCAAAGCCAGTTGTTCGACTCGGTGCGATCTTGCATTTGCCAGCAGATGCGCTTCTCTGTGATCATTACGAAGCTTTTGTCGGACGCCGAAGCCGAAGGAGCGGTTGTCAGGGTCCCTGCTCGCTGGCCGTCGGATCGCTGATCCGCTGGCTGATTCTAGCTCGCTCTCGAGGCGGCAAGGCGGGAAAGGGTGCAACAGCGAGAGCATCAGCGTGAGAAACTGGAACGCGCCAGCTGGCCGGTCGCGCTCCGACTCACTGGACTCTGTCGGAGAAAGCGAGCCCGGAGAGGACCCTGCTTTTCCCCTTGAAGCTCTCACTCGGGGCGCGGAGTGCAATCGGCAAAAGGGTCACAGCGCGAAGAATCCGCCAAAAAGCAGGGCACGCAGGCACGAGACCCCGCAACTCGAGTAACAACAGCGCGTGCCCTGTCTGTCGGTCTGCCAGGATTAGAACTCAGAGGAGGTGAAGCGAGGGTCAAACTCGGCGTGACAGCAGAGTGAGTGAGTGAGAAGTGTGTGTTTCGGCGGCATCTCCGCTCTGTGCAAAGAAGTCGCGCTTGCTCGTGGCTCAAGACTGCCTTTTGCCTTGTCAGAACGTGATCAGCTGTTCCTTCAACACGCTAATCCTCCTCATCATCATCACCACCTCTATTGACACCTCCCCTTCTCTCGTTTGAACTGGTTCCTCAAGGTGCAGACGCATTTCTCCGAGGACTTTATCTGTCTATCGTCGCATTGTCTCTCAGCGTCTATTACGTCGAACCCGCCCTCGTCTCATCACGGAATGCACCTGCAGCCATTGTCATTGCTACCAGCTACCCATCATCTCGGACGCGCATTGCATCATTCCTCTTTTGCACCGCGACAACGCTCCTTCTTCGCACCGCGCTTAGATTCGACAGCTTTGTAATCACGACGCAGGCTACCTCGTTCCCAGCTCCAGCTCATTGACAGGCACAGTGTTCTAGACGCTCAGCATCTTGGCAGCGTTCACGCACTCATCTGCCAATCTCCTTGGTGCATATCGCTGGTGCATATCGGTGCACTGCATTCAGTTCTGGCACTCTCATAGAGCTTTCATTTGCGTTGCAGCAAGCCCACGAAACACATCCGGGAGGATCAAACCCACCTGCCCAGCATGAACGGCATCGAAAATGGTCAAAGCTTTGACCCGGCCTTTGACGCCTTCTTCCAGGCCCCTCCATCATCATCGCCAAATCAGCCGCTCCAGCATCTCGGCTCCGACTCTCCGGCGACGCTCGCGCACTTAGGCAAGCTTAATGCAACCGATCCCGCTTCCTCCCTCAGCGTCTTTGGTCACGATGTCAGCAACATGCAGAACAGCTCGGCGGGCAACAATCTGCATCTCAATATCTCTGGCCTCTCTGTCAAGAGCGAAGGAGAGCAGCAGCAGCATCTGCAACAGTTGCAGCAGCAGCAACTTCTTCAGCAGCAGCAGCAGCAGCAGCGACAGCAGCAGCACCAGTCCAACTCGCTCAATTTTGCCAACGTCCACGCTTCGTCGCCGCAATCCCAGCTGACCTCACCTGCAGATGCGTCCTCCTTCAGCATCCCTGGCGCCTCTGCCACATCGCCGCTCTTGCATCCTGACGCCTCCTCCAGTAGCATCCTCGACGCAAATCTCGGCGCACCTGCCGCTTCCTCGCCACTGAGAACCGAGTACAATCTCAGCAACGAGACCGGCGCCGTCATGTCGGCCGACATGCGATCGTACAGCTCGGCATCCTTCAAGAGCGCCGTCTCTCAGAATGTCAACAGTCCCACAAATGGTTTCAACGGCGTCGGCGACCAGAGTATCGGTGATACCTCCATCGACGATTCCAATGTCACCAGGGAGTCGGATGTAGATCTGGCTGCCGAAAAGCGACAGAGCAGCAAGTTCGTCTACAAGCTGTTTCGCATGGTCAGCGATCCCGACTACCAGCATCTCATCAGCTGGAATCGAAACGGCACCAGCGTCATGGTTTGCAACTTTGATGAATTCGCGAAGGAGGTTCTCGGCAAGCACTTCAAGCACAGCAACTTTTCCAGCTTCATTCGTCAGCTCAACATGTACGGCTTCTACAAGGTCAACAAGACACCGCGCGGTCATCGTCAGTCGGTCGACGCTCAGATCTGGGAATTCTCGCATCCCAAATTCTTGCGTGGACGTCCGGATCTGCTCGACGACATCCGCAGGAAAGCGCTGGATTCGGAACACGCCCGCGTCGAAGCACGAGACCTGCAGTACAGCGTCAGCGTTGGTCAGATGCAGTTGCGGCAGCAGGTCGACGAGATGCAGTTCAGGATCGAGGAGCTCACCGAGCAAAACATGGCTCTTCGCACCTTTACCACTCAGCTCCGGGACGTGCTCGGAATGGTGCTCGATCACGTCAAGAAAGCGAGCGGTGGCAATGTCGGCTTCGATGTGCGTGTTCCGACCTTGGACCTACCGTCACCGATGCCTCCGCAAGGGCTGTGGACACCGCAGGGCCACGATGGCCCACCTATCTTTGTGACGGAGCCCGAATTTGGTGCTGGCGCGGGTCAGAGCGGCCTGCGTATGGGTCACGGACTGCCGACACAGGCGCCGCAAGGCATGCACGGCGGATCACCTGGCTTTGGTGCAACGCCAGAAGGATTCGGTATCGCCAGCACGCCGATCTCACGGCGTGTCTCGGCGAGCTCGGCGCACAGCGAAAGCATGATGACGATGAATGGCTCCCCGATGCATGGCTCGATGCATGGCGAAGCGGCCATGATGGCTGCGGCATCCGGGTTGCCGCATCGTTCAGCTTCGTTTGGAGAAGGGCAGATGCCTCCCCCGCAATTCAACATCGGACGTGGCGGAGGGGTAGCTGCGAACAGAGCAGGCTTAGCAGGACTTGCCATCGACACATCAGCGACAGCGAGCATGTTTGGGCATGGTGGCATGCATCCCGGTGTCAGCCCGACGTCTGCCGGGCTTTCGGCGAGCAACGCCGGTCTGGGCATGATGAGCGTGCCAGCCTCGCCAATTTCTCCGCAGCATCAGGCCATGATGGCGGCCATCAACACACCGCTTCCTCCTTCCCCTGCGCCAGGCTCCATGATGGGAGGGTCACCGTACTTCACCAACAACGGCTTCCCACAATTTGGTCACAACAACCTCACCATGGCCGATCAGAGCTTCTTTGGCCCCGACGGCAGCGAAGGACCTAACGCCAAGGCGATGCGAACGCCGTTGAAGCGCACAGCGTCGAATTCGGGGCCGAGTGGACAAGGCACGCCCGTGTTGATCCAGGCGACATCACCAGGGTTGGCAAAGAGGAAGTCGCCACTCTGACCGCCAAAGTCCGATACAGATGATTCAACGGAACGCTCTGCTCCTGATCTTGTCGAGAAGGGACAAAAGCAAGCGAAATGATACCCAGGATTTTGCGCCAAGGGCTCGCAAAGCTCCTCATGGCCGACCTGACCTAGAGTCGGTGCCTCTCTCATTATCCTTTGCTGCATGTCATACTTGACCACTTCGCACCGATCGCCAACGTCGCTTCTCGTCACCTCTTGCTGCTGCGGTTTGATGGCGCGCGGGATCTCATCACACTCATTCTCCTTCTCGGCTTCTCGCCCCCTACCTGGATGTCATCATTAGTGCTGCGTCGCTTGCAGCTTTGTCATAGTATGCGTATATCTTCCTTCGGCCTGTTTTGTCTTGGACTTGTCTGCGTCGAAGCAGACCTTGAATGCAGCGCGCGCCTCAATAGGCGTGAATGCTGTCGAATCGGCTGATTCCTGCCATGCACGCGGGGAATGCAGCAGTTTGGCTCGAATTTCATAAAGGAGCACAGCTCGTGTGCTTTGTGCCTCGACTTGGCGTCGACCTGATTTTCGCGTTTTGGCTCGGCTCGGCAATCAGAAACGCAGTCAAGATGGGACGCCGAGTCTGCTGGACCCTGGACGAGTCTTGTTTCTGGGGTCAACTGAGCTTCGTGGCGTCTCACCTTCATCTTCCGGCCAGAGCCTCCTTTCATTCAGCGCACATCTCACTTCCTCTTCAGTAACGGCGCCCTTCATCGCTGCGTCGATCGACACGCTCCTCAATGTCGACTTAGGGCTGAGAACACTTGCATTGCATCCCAAGCTCCTACCATCACACTCTGCTCGAGACCAACCTCAACACGATGGTCGACCCACGGAAGGTGCCGCGCACCTCCTATGACTCGCAAGCTACCGCCTCAGATGCATCAATAGACAAGCACGAGAAGCTCGAACGCTATCGCGACGGCTCGAATTCCCCCGACGGACCTTCGCTATACCCACCCAAGCGCACATCCTCGCGCTACGATGCCGAAACATATGAGCTTGAGGGCAGTCAAGATGTGGTGCTCGACGACGACGAAGAAGTCGGGCTCATGCAAGCAGACCGAGACGCGAGAACAAGGCGGCGGAGGCTCCCGATATGGGCACGGCTAGGATCGAGGGGGCTCAAGTCGAGGAAGAAGCGGCCGAGCGTCTTTGCTGGATGCTTGATATTCAGTGGTGTCGTCCTCGGTTTCATGCTCGCACTACCGCTCTTGCAATGGCTATCGTCCAACACTCCCACATCTGCACCAGCGCCTGCACCGACTTCGGTCTACGACAGCGTCTCTGGCGTCGTCAATGACGTATACAACCCCTTCCACGAAGAGGATCCCTCAAATGTGTCGAGCATATGGAAGCAGCCTGCTTCGCCAGACACCGCCGACGGCCACTACGCCCTCTCCAACAGCTCCATCTTCCAGGTCGACTTCCAAGACTCTGGCTGGGACACGTTCGCCAAAGCAGCAGCGGGCACTGGTCTGCCGCTCAAGGAAGTCGAGACCAAACGCCAACTCATGCCGCTTGACATGGATATCATCTTTGGCGGCACGCTGACACCGCAAACGAGCGACCTCGAGTGGAGCGAGGAGGACCCAGACGAGGGCGTGTTCAGCCACGTCGATTGGGGCAAGCGCAACATTTACCTGGAGGACGTCACGCACGCCAGGAAGGAAAAAACCGGTGAAGGGAAGATTGCCTCGTTCGGTGGCAAGAGCCTCATCGTGGAGGGTGCGAACGTCAAGGATGGCGACGGGAGGAGGCTCGATTGGACCCTGTACAAATTTTCGCCGGACGTGCGATGGGTCCTGTTCTACACGAGCGTGACACCCCAGTGGCGGTACAGCAAGAAGAGCCGCGTTTGGCTGCACAACATCGCGCAGAAGAAGACGATTCCGATCGGATCTGCGAAGTCCAAGATCTCGTACGCTGCATTTGCACCCAGCAAGGCCGGGGCTGCTTCGAAAGACCCGCCCAGCGTCGTCTACGTCGAGGACAGCAACCTCTTCGTCATCCCTCGCGCAGGCGAGAAGGCGATCCAGGTGACCACCGATGGGTCGGCGACCGTGTTCAACGCTGTCCCCGACTGGGTGTACGAAGAGGAGGTGTACGGCTCCGACTCGGTGCTGTGGTTCAGTCCCGGCGGGTCGAAGCTGGTCTACTTGCGACTGGACGAGACCGAGGTGCCCGTCTACGAGATCCCCAAATACAACCCGGACGCATATCGCGCTGGACTCACTACGCCGTACCAGAAGATGACACGGATGAAGTATCCGAAGCCCGGGTTCCCGAATCCTACCGTCAGCGTCCGGATGATTGACCTGGACGAGATCAAGGACGCCACCAAGCAAGGGGCGAGCGTCAAGCCGACGCAGTACACGCTGCACAGTCCCATGTCGACCAAGGGCAAGGCGGTGGACGAGGTCGACAAATTGCTGTCAAGCGATGCGGGGGTCAAGGAAAGGCTGGTCACAGAAGTCAAGTGGGTGTCGGACGCCGAGCTGCTCGTCAAGGAGACGGACCGATACAGCGACGTGATGCGCCTCGTGAAATTTGATCTCAAGGACAAGGCTGTCGGGGCGGATAAAGTCGGCGAGGTGGTGCGAAAGCAAGATGCCCGTGCCGACAAGAGCGGCTGGATACGCGCCGCTCAAACGATCGAGCCGCTCTCACATCACAATCTGTCCGTCGACTCGACAGCTTATCTGGATATCGTCGTCTCGCCGGAGGGATATCGACACTTGGCATTTTACCCCTCGGCTGCCTCGGACAAGCCAATCTTCCTCACGCAGGGCAAGTGGGAGATCGCCGAGCTAAAGCACGTCGATGCCAAACGAGGACGAGCCTACTTCACTGCCGCGAGACCGACTCCTGCGCTTCGCAACGTGTACTACGTCGAGCTACCCGACTGGAAGGCTAGCTCCTCTGCGGCCTCCTACAAGCCGAAAGACCCGGTCGCGCTGACCGACGTCTCCACCCCAGGCACGTACGATGTGACGTTCGATCCCAAGGGCGCCTACTACATCCTCTACTACCTCGGCCCGAATGTCCCCTACCAAAAGATCCTCTCCATTGACGACCCCTCGTTCACCCTCGTCCTCGAAGAAAACACGCTCCTCCGCCAGCTATCCAGCCAGTACGTCAAGCCGTCGAACACGTTCTACCAGCTTGCGCTCAACAGCACCCTCCCGGACGGCACACCCACCGTGGCAAGTGTCAAAGAGATCCGCCCACACGACTTTGACCCCTCCGGGTCGACGAAGTATCCCGTGCTGATGCGCGTCTACGGCGGACCGGACTCGCAGCTTGTCGATTCGAAGTGGAACCGTGCGGACTGGCATCAGTACGTCTCGTCCACCTTGGGCTACATTGTCATTGTCGTCGATGGACGAGGTACAGGGTTTAAGGGTCAATCGTACCGCTCGTGCGTCGCTGGCAACTTGGGTACGCTCGAGGCGACAGACGTCAACGAGGCGGCTCGCCAAATCTCGCACCTGCCCTACGTCGACGATACCAAGATTGGGTTGTGGGGCTGGTCCTACGGCGGTTATCTCACCGCCAAGACCGTCGAGCTGTCCAAGAACCTCTTTTCGCTCGCCATCTCCGTCGCCCCCGTAACGAACTGGGGATTCTACGACTCGATCTACACAGAACGCTACCTCAAATCTCCACTCACCAACAAGGCGGGTTACGAAACGTCCTCCATCCACGTCACACCCGCGTTTTCGTCGACAAAATACCTCCTCATGCACGGGAGCGCCGATGACAACGTGCACTTCTCCAGCTCGGCGCACCTGTTGGACATGTTGACCAAGGCGAAAGCGCGAGGATTTCGGTTTCGGATGTTCACGGATTCAAGGCACAGCATGAGCGTGAGGGGTGCGTACAGGGAGCTGTTTGAGGAGATGAACAGCTTTTTGCACGAGGTGTGGGGGGATGGTGGCAAGCGAGGGAAGGTGGGGAAGGACCGACCGAGTTTGCACAACTCCGTCGAGTGAAGACGGACACTTGGTAATTGGAATCAGTTGTGTTGCAAAGCTTGCGCCTCTGCTGTGTGTGTGGGTGTGCGCGCTGAGAAAGCGATCCTGCTGACAAGCGACGTAGGTGACAGACGGGCATGCTCGACCTGCAGGACGAAGGCGATGCGGGGGGCGCAGCTCGGCGCAACCTCGGTGCAATTCCCACCTGGCGCGAAAGGGCTCACTCGAATTCACCCATCGGCCATCGACCCCGCGGAGTGCCTTCTGTCCGGTTTCAGCAAATGGTGCGCGGGGTGATGGAAGTGCATAGCCGGGGGTGGGTGTCAGACATATCGAGTCACGTCTGTGGGCCGGTCATATCAGCCACCATCGTGGCGAGAAGGCGGGGTGGGGGCCGGCGATAAACCGGCCAATAAAACTTTTCCACCGGAAGCGCGGGGTTTTGCCAAGCATATCGCGCGCGCCTTCCCGTGGGGCTGTCAAAAGATCATCGACGATGGTGAGGCTGCTTGACATCAATTGACCGGTCCAGCTGGGCTCCCAGAGTATAAAGGGCGGGCATCAACCCTTTCAGCCTCCCCACAAATCCCCATCTCACGTCTCACGTACACGAGGGACGCCTACCATGTCTCTCCGCGAGCCCTCCTTCGAAGTGTCGCGGGCAACCTCCCGCCCTGCGTCCTCCAACACCCCACTCCGTCCTCACCCACGATCCACCCATCAATCGATCCTGAAAACCCTCCGTTCTATCACGGGCAATGACGCGCACAGCCGTACCATGTTTCTCAAGGAATGTTCCCTCTATACATGCTTCCTCCTAGCAGGTTGGGTGGACGCTACACCCGGTGCACTCCTCCCCGCCATCCGCCATCACTATTCGCTCAGCTTCATCTACGTTTCCATGCTCTTTGTGGGCACCTTCATCGGATGCATCATCGCAGCAGGCAGCGTATCTCCGTTGATGGATAAGTGGGGATTCGGCAAAATGATCTCCCTCGCAGCGGGACTCGGGATGGTGTTTCCAGTGGTGTTTCTCACCATGCCCCCCTTTCCCGTGCTCATCGCCGCGATGGTCGTCTCCGGCATGTCGACGAGTACGCTGGATGCGCTGGTGAATGTGTGGATCAGTCAACGACCTAATGCGGATGTACGGCTGGGCGTCACGCACTTCCTCTATGGAGTGGGTGCGTTGAGTTCACCGCTCGCAGCGATCCCGTTTTTGCACGAGGGCAGGGAGGAAGGGGTGAAGTTCCAGTACTTTTTCTTGGTGAGTCTTGGGTTGGCCACGGCGGTACTGGTGTTGGTCACGGCGGCGTTTCGGTTGAGTAGGGATGAGCATGTGGAAGGACCCGAAGAGCCGGTGCAGGTCGAGCTTCGACCTCGACAACACTCGCCGGAGGAGGGGGATAAGAAGTCCCACCCTAACGAGGGAGCCATCGATCTTATGCCAACAACATCCCGACTGGGAACCGGAGAGCTCCATCCCACCCCCGCACCAGCGCCGGCTGCTGGACTGGCCAAACTCCGCGCAGTGATCCGTCAACCCAAAGTGCAACTCCTGGCGCTGTTCACCTTCACCTACGTCGGAACCGAGGTCACCGTCGGCGGCTGGACCTCGTCCTACCTCATCACGGTGCGCAACACCACCACCTCGGCCAACGCCATCGTTTCGGGCTTTTGGGGAGGTATCGCATTCGGTCGCATCCTGCTCATCCCCGTCACGGCGTGAGTGGGCGAGGAGCTGGCGGTCTCCGTCTACCTGGTCGCCGCGATAGGGCTGCAGTTGTTGGTGTGGTTGTTGCCCAACATTGTGGCCAACGCTGTAGCCTTGGCGTTGTTGGGTGTGTTGTTAGGGCCAGTATTCCCGGCGATGATCAGGGTGTGCGAGAGAAGTGTTAGACCAAGAGGCCATTTGACTGCGGCGATCAGTTTCATTAGTACGTTTGCCGCGGCGGGAATGGCACTCTTGCCGCTACTGGTGGGTGTGGCGAGTCAGAAGGTGGGGATCAGGGTGCTAGCGCCGATGCTGGTGGGGATGTTGGTGGTGCAGGTGGGGTTGTGGGGCTGGACGAATGCGGGGTGGTTGGTGGGGTGGGTGAAGAGGAGAGGCGAGGAGAGGGTGGATGATGTGGATCGACTCGACTAGGGTGCACAGGCGCAGAAGGATCTTTGTATGCAGGTTTTTGTCATGGACATTCGGACTTGATCCATGCCTGAAGACTGTGGTCCTTGTGAATGTCCCAGACGAAACTGGGAACATCAACTCGTGCTTCTCGTCCACGATGATCGTGCGACGATGATCGTGCGACTCCCATGAACTGAGATGCTTCGAGTTCTAGATCACGGCCGCAGGAGATGCGCCGTCTAGTGCGAACCCCCAACCAGCTCAAGCTTGACCTGCTCCACCTTACCCTTCGTTCCCTCGCTGAGCGGGCCGCACACCATCACCCCCACCCACCACTCCTCCTTGCCCTCTTCTCCATCCAACGGCAGCACGAATCCCTTCTTCTCCCTCAACAGCAGCCGCTCCCCATCGACCGTGTAGTACACATGCACGTCGGGGCCGGTCTTCTCGATCTCAATGTGCACCGACGACCCTTTGGACAACGGCGAGACATTCCAGTCCGAGAAAGGATTCGTCGCTACGACACCGACATACTTTCGTCCGCCCTCGTTCTCGATCCCGGACTTGAGCCACGCTTGACCCTCGCGACCGCCCTTCGGGTTGAGGCGCTGGACGAACAGCGTGGTTTGCTGAAACCGCTCGCTGCCCTCTTGGTGAACGATGCCGGAGAGCTTCCAGTTTTGAGATGCGACGAGGGTAAGCGACTGGTAGGCGAGAGGACCAGAGTCGCGGTGGGCGGAGGATTCGGGTTGAGAGCCAGGTGCGGTGGTCCACCAGTCGGTGCGCGCGCCGGAATCGATGGTGATCGTGAGCCCGGACGAGGTGGGCGTGACCGTGTGGGAGGAATTTGATGTGGGGTCGTGGAACTTCCAGCTGTCGGTGAAACCTGTCATCGCTGCTGAGGGTAGGCGAGCAAGAAGGAGGTGGTGAATGTGGTCGGAAGGAATGGTGGGAGGAGGGAGGCAAGAAAGTCGGGGAAGATGCGGGGACGCTCGGGCCTCTTCCAGCAACAAGACCGGCTACGTTGACAGGTGACGTTGCCGATCTTAGGCCGGCCCACCTCGTAAGGTCATCTCGGCCACCAAGGATCCGGAAACCTGACTGCGCCTCATGCACCCACTCGAAAAAGGACCATCTGAGCGGGTCAGAACACTGCAGCCCCCACAGCGAGACTTCGGAGGATGTTCTCCATCACACGTGGCCGAGTTCTTGGCAGTCGCTGCCCCACACCGAGTTGAAACATGCATCCGTGTTAGGCCGGTAACAGCATCAGCGAAAACAGGAGCGGCAAATTCGCCGACACCAAACGATCTCCCTGCGCTTAGCGCGCCTCGCCATGTGATGATTTGAGCCGCGGGCAAGGGTTCTGAATGGAAAATTTAACCTTCGGGACGAGATTGGGCCGCGGGCAATAGGGTGAAAGATAACGCCATAATGAACTGCAATGGTGTTGGCGCAGCGCCAGACGAGGTCGGCATGTGGCGAGCCAACCAGATTGCAGGGTCGTGTGAGGTTCGACGTTTTCGAAACGCTTATTCGTTCGGCAGGACGTCCGCCGGCAGCTTGTTTGTTTGAGGCCCGAAATGAAGGTTCTGCAGACCTTATCTGTTGCTCGCCTTCCGTAGTGGGTCGGCCTGACCCCCGCTGTGCGTATGAGCTTGACTAGAACTGAGGAGTCTCTGTCCTCCTTACCACGACCATCACACCGACGACTTCGTAGTCCATCATGGAGGCCGAACACAACAGCAAGCTTCGATCCGAAGAGGACGGTGGCTCGGTGGACAAGGCAATCCACGCCACCGCAGATGGCCACGCCGATGTGGTCTCCGCCACCGAGCGGGCGCACCTCAAGCAAGGACTGGAGCAGCGTCATCTCTCGATGATTGCGCTCGCCGGCTCCATTGGTACAGGTCTCTTCCTTTCGCTCGGCGGGTCGATCCAGACGGGCGGGCCCTTGGGCGCACTGCTAGGCTACGCGGTCGTTGGAGCCATTGTCTGCGCCGTGCAGTTCGCACTGGGCGAAGTGTCGGCTCTCCTGCCTGTGACAGGCTCCTTCGTTCGACATGCCGACTATCTCATCGACCCCGCGTGGGGCTTCGCCGTCGGCTGGAACCTGGTATACGGCAACGTCCTTTCCATCCCATCAGAGATCTCTGCTATCTGCGTCCTGTTCCAATTCTGGACCGACATCAACTCGTCGCTATGGATCATGATCTTCATCGCCCTCACCTTTGCCATCGGTGTCGTCTTTGTTCGAGCCTATGGCGAGGTCGAATTCGCCTTTGCTTCGCTCAAGCTGCTCACCATTATTTTCCTCATCATTTTCGGCCTCGTCACCAACCTCGGCGGCATCCCTGGCGTCGAACGCATCGGCTTCCGATACTGGAATACGCCTGGACCCTTCGTCGAATACATCGGAACCGGCCCATGGGGCCGCCTCCTCGGATTCTGGTCTGTCATGACCTCAGCGGTTTACAGTTTTGCAGGCTGTGAAAGTCTCGCCATGGCCGCGGCCGAGACGAGGAACCCCGGCCGCACCATCCCGAGGGCGTGCAAGAGGGTGTTCTTCCGCATCGTGCTTTTCTACATGCTTGCGGTGCTCGTCGTCGGAATGCTGGTCGCCTCGGATGACGATCGACTCAACGACTACTCGGGCACGGCTGCGCAGTCGCCATTCGTCATCGCGGTTTCCGCAGCGGGCTACTCTGCTGTCGGCTCGGTGATCAACGCCATTGTCATCACGTCGGCATGGTCTTCCTCGAATCAGGCCTTGCTGTCGGGCACGCGAGTCCTGTACGCTCTCGCGCTGAAGCGTCAAGCGCCTCGCTTCTTCCTTCGCACGACTTCGTGGGGTATTCCGATCTACTGCGTCCTCTTCTTCACGGCGTTCATGTTCCTCAGCTTCATGACGCTGTCGTCGGGCGCGCTGACCGTCTTCTACTGGTTTGTCAGCCTGACTGCCGCGGGTACACTGGTCTCGTGGTCGACTGTGCTGCTGAACCACATCCGGCTCAAGACTGCGCTGCGCCGACAGAGCATCTCGGCGTCTGAGCTCCCGTGGAACAACGGCTGGACGCTGTACTCGAGCTACGTCGCGCTGGTCATGTGCTTGGTGATCCTATTCACCGGCGGATTCAGCGTGTTCACTGCTGGCAGGTGGAACGCCAACAGCTTTGTCTCGAGCTACCTCGACATTCCGCTCGTTATCGCGTTCTTCGTCGGCTGGAAGGTGATCAAGAAGACCAAGTGGGTCAAGCTGGAGGACCTGCCGTTGCGAGAGGCGATCGAGCAGGCCAGGGAGCGAGCTCAGCAGGCCGAGATGGAGCAGGAGGCTGAAGATGCGCTGAAGGGAGACAGGCGCTGGCTGAAGTTTATCAGCTGGATCTGGGACTGAGCTCTCTTGCGAGAGAGCCGCCCATGGACCTCATACACCCAGCATATACCCTTCTCGATTGCCTTTGTACTCGTCACGCTTCTAGTCACGGACCGATACAGTTTCCTTGCGCCTTCTTTCGGAGTGAAACGGCTGATGTGACATTGAAGGAACAGCTCCCGTGGCTCGAGGCAAGCGGAAGTAGGCCGTGCGTTGTGTGAAGGCCGCTCACTCCGACTGAGACGGTGGAGGCTGCTCAGCTGGGCTTGAAATTTTGACTGGCGAGGTGCCGATACTTTTTACAGAAAAGGCCTTCCGTCACAGTGCGGCGTCGGCAGCGGTGCAAAATTGCAGGAATCGTGGATCGAGCACGGAGCTGCCGACAGAAGCCCTTTTGACAAGCACATTGATCGCTTGGCATCCGACGATACCACATCCTCCTCCCACACCATCCAATTCTTCTATCGTGTGCTCAACCCAGTATCGAATCGCGCCGGAGCTGGCAAGGTCGACGCAACACAAATATCAACCATGACCGAACCAGATCGCTCTCGACGCGGTGGTCAGAGCTCATCCAAGTCGAAGCAGCACTTCGAAGTGGCTGCCGACGAGTACCAAGCACCCTTCCAGCTACCCGCCAAAAAGGTAAGCATCGAAACAGCAGAGGATGCGGCAGATGTAGCAGCCTTTGCCTCGTCGCCATACTTTGACGACCAGGAAGCACGCGAAGCAATAGAATGGGCACAGTCCCAACAGCAAGCCGAGCTGGATGCCGGAGCTGACGCCAGTGAAGGAGGCGTTCAGATCGGTCGAAGACGACGTAGAGACAGTCAAGTGGGGAGCTACGATGAAGGCGGCAGCATCTTTGACGGTCCAGGCGCCGGTGCCGTTCCCAGCTCGGTCAGTAGCATGCGTCACGAAATGGCCAGGCCAGAGTTGGGACGTCGCTCCTCTCGAAGCTCTCGACGCCGCATCTCGATGGAGGGTCGCTCGCCCCGCCGCACCCGTAAGCTTTCCGGTGCGTCTGCCCAGAGTGAAGCCATCTCAGCTTCGAGCGAGCGCAGCGTCTCACCGGACTCAGTCGCTGGACGCCGCAAGCCTGCAAGCCAGCGTAGCGGCAGCACCTACCACTTTGGTCGCAGAAAGCGTGTGCCCGAAGACGCAGACCTCACTGGCACCAGCCAGCCAAAGGGAATGCTCGGTTCCATTCTCGCCTCCATCCGTGGCGACCGCGGCGACGATGACAACGACGATGCCCGCAGCCGCCGCTCCTTCTCTCGACCCCTCCTCTCTCGAAGGCGATCCTCGCAGTCCAACATTTCTTCTCGAGCTGGCAGGTCCGATGCAGGAGATGAGGATGAAGACGAAGACTACGACAATACCAGAGGTTGGAGCGACGATGACTATGGCTTTGACGATGAAGATGATGACGACTCCTACCGTTCCTCGGATGACGATGCCTCGAACCGCAACGGCATCCTCCCCTCCGCGTTCGGCACACTCAGTGGAGCTGTCGACCCCGTCTTTGGAGACACGCGCTTCTCCACCGATCATCCGCCCGAAGACGAGCTGGACGCCGAGCTGGCAGGCCGCGATCTCGAGACAGGAGAGCCATCTGGCTTCGGTCGCTCCGAAGGCGATGTCAATGCACGCGGCCGCACTTCTGGTCAGAGCGTCGAGGCAGCAAGGACAGAACTCAGCTACCTTGACAAGTCTTCCAAGAGCAGACAGCAGGTCTACCTGATGGAGGAGGATACGCTCATCCGCTTCACCGGCTACAAGACCCTCGTTGGTAAGCAGGTCATCTACACGATCGTCTGCTGCCTCACTCTCGGCATCGTCTATCTCATCGGTCGATGGCTACCCCGCTTCCGACTCAAGTACGTCTGCAAGGAGACGGAATTCGAGAAGGCCGAGTTCATCATGATCGAAAACCAGTGGGGCGATCTTCACAAGGAGAAGATCGACACCATCCCTTTCGCCCGACCGCTCGCCACCGTCTTCTCTCATTCGTCGCGGGAGCCACCTTCCACCCAGGCAGAGGCGCAATCCATGCCCACCATGAATCTGCCGCCCGAGCTTTCCAACAAGAGCAACGCAAACTCAAAGGCAGCGTCCGCAAAGAGCAGCATTATCAACGGCGGACCCCCAGCAAACGGCAATGGCAATGGTCATGGAGCCGACCTCCCCCCGACAGGCGGGCTTCCCATGCTTTCCGGTGTTCAGACCGAACAGCTGATGGAATTGACCTTCTTCGACTTCCGCTATACGCGCTACGCACTCCACCCACCTACTGGCCGCTTCCGCATGATCAAAGATTGGAGAGATCCGCTCTGGACCTCGCTTGCTGCGATCAACAACGGCATCAGCTTTGATGCTGAAAAGGACCGCTCTACGATCTTTGGCAAGAATGCCATCGAGATCCAGGCCAAGTCCACCTGGCAGCTTCTCGTCGACGAAGTGCTTCATCCTTTCTACATGTTCCAGATCGTCTCGATCATCCTCTGGTCCTTCGACAACTATTACTACTACGCCTTCTGCATCGCCGTCATCTCGCTCGTCTCCATCTTCACCACGCTCCTCGAGACCCGTCAGACGGTCAACCGCATGCGCGAGATGAGTCGCTTCTCGTGCGACGTGCGTGTGCTGCGCGAAGGCAACTGGCAGGTGCTCGATTCGAACGATCTCGTCCCCGGCGATGTGTACGATGTGGCTGAGCCCGGTCTGCTCCTCTTCCCAGCTGACAGCGTCTTGCTGAGCGGTGACGCCATTGTCAACGAGAGCATGCTCACGGGAGAAAGTGTCCCTGTCAGCAAGATTCCGCTCACGACGCCAAGCATGGTCGGTCTTCACGCTGCAGGCACTGAAGTGACCGCCGATCTCGCCAAGCACTTCCTCTTCTCCGGCACTCGCATTATCCGTATCCGTGGAAGCGGATCGACCGACAAGAATGAAGCCGGCGCCAAGGCGATGGTGGTCCGAACCGGGTTCAATACGACCAAAGGTGCTCTTGTCCGCAGCATGCTCTTCCCCAAACCGATGGGCTTCAAGTTCTACCGCGACTCTTTCCGCTTCATCGGCTTCCTCGCCATGATTGCAGGAATCGGCTTCCTCTTCGCTGCCGTCAACTTTGTCAAGATGGGAATTGCTTGGCATACGATTGTCATCCGTGCTCTCGACTTGATCACTGTCGTCGTGCCGCCTGCTCTGCCAGCCACCATGTCCATCGGCATCTCGTTCGCCATCAATCGTCTCCGCAAGGTCGGCATCTTCTGTATCTCGCCGAACCGGGTCATCATCGGAGGAAAGGTGGATGTCTTCTGCTTCGACAAGACGGGAACGCTCACTGCCGAGGGTCTCGACGTGCTCGGAACGCGAACGATCGATCTCAAGGCTGGCAGATTCAGTGAGTTGCACGAGTCCGTCGACGAGATGCCCGTCGGTGCGGGAACCAAGAGCGATGCAGATGCTCGCAAGATGCCGCTGCTCTACGCCTTGGCCACCTGCCACTCGCTGAAAGTGGTCGATGGTGAGGTTATCGGCGACCCGCTCGATGTCAAGATGTTCGAGCACACTGGCTGGACACTCGATGAGGGCAAGGATCGATCGGCAAAGGCTACCACCAAGACTGGCACTGCCAAGAACGGCAAATCGAAGCTCACAGAGCGACCTCCCGCCCTGGTGCAGACCGTCGTCCGCCCACCTGGTGGACAGGCCTTCGAGGTCGAAGACGCCATCAAGTCCGGCCGCCACGCCCACTTCCTCGAGCTCGGTGTTCTGCGCACGTTCGAGTTCGTCTCATCGCTCCGCCGAATGTCGGTCATCGTCAAGCGTCTCAAGTCGCAGTCGATGGAGGTGTTTGTCAAAGGTGCGCCCGAAGTGATGGCCGACATCTGCGACAAGGACACCTTCCCCGCGGACTACGACGATTTGCTCTCGTACTACACCAAGCACGGCTACCGTGTCATTGCCTGCGCAGGCAAGTCGATGGCGGGCATGAGCTGGATCAAGGCCCAACGCATGCGTCGAGAGCAAGCCGAGAGCGGACTTCGCTTCCTCGGTCTGATCATCTTTGAGAACAAGCTCAAGGAAGGCAGTGCGCCGGCCATCGAGGTGCTCAAGAACGCCAACATCGTGACCAAGATGGTGACGGGCGACAACCCACGTACCGCCATCAGCGTTGCTCGAGAGTGCGGCATGGTGGGGCAGTCGGCGCACGTCTTCATGCCGACCTTCGTCGAAGGTGACCAAAGGAGCCCACGCGCTGTGATCGACTGGTCGAGCGTCGACGACGACCGCATCAAGCTCGACCCGTACAACCTGCAACCCCGTGAAGTGGACCCGCACGTGCTGGACCTCGAAGAGTTTGACTTCCAAGACTACCAGCTCGCGCTGACAGGCGACGTCTTCCGGTGGATGATCGACTTTGCGCCCATCGAGACGGTGCGACGTATGCTGATCAAGGGCACCATCTTTGCGCGCATGTCCCCTGACGAAAAACACGAGCTGGTGGAGCGCTTGCAGGCAATGTCGTACACGTGCGGCTTCTGCGGCGACGGCGCTAACGACTGCGGTGCGCTCAAGGCGGCGGACATCGGCATCTCGCTCTCGGAAGCAGAAGCGTCGGTGGCTGCGCCCTTCACGTCGAACCGCGGCGACATCTCGTGCGTGCTCGACACAATCGCCGAAGGCCGCGCTGCGTTGGTGACGTCGTTCAACTGCTTCAGCTACATCTGTCTGACGTCGCTAATCCAGTTCTCGAGCGTGCTGCTCATGTACTCGATCGGCAGCTCGCTGGGCGATTGGGAATTTATGTACCTCGACTTTGCCTGTTTGTTCCTCAGCGTTTTCAGTGCTAGGACTGGGCCGCCGTAGATGCGCACCCATCAGAAATGCAAAACGTTCTTCATGGAGACCCGGAAGCGAGTGTGATGAGTCGATGAGAACCATGCGATGCGATACAAATACATTTTGAGATCATCGAGACTAGGCGTCTCCGTCGTTCTGCATGCTCCTTTCGACGGCCTTGTACGTCTTGCTCCCGTGTTTCCTGCCTCTGTTCCGTCTCGATCGTCTGACAAACCTCTGCAGTGCCTTGACCATTTTCGCCACGGAATTTGCCAACAGGGACTCGAAGACGAAGCTGAGCACGGTATTGAGCACGACGGCTACGAACAGTGCGATGTGGAAGCTCCTCGGGAAGGGTACGAGACCCAAGAGGTCTGCGACCTTGCCCTCTGGTGTGAAGAGCGCATACAGCGAGAAAAGGAACAGCGCTGTGACGCTGGCCATCAACCACACGTTCGTGATCGGGTTCTTCCTATATGGGTATCCGGTTGTATACACCAGGCATCCGACGGAATATTGAAAGGAGGAGATGAGGAAGACGGCTGTGTTCTCGGGGTTGGACGTGTTGAGTTCCTCGTTGGGGTCGATGACGGGCGGTGAGTACCACGGTTGCGCGCGGACGTAGTAGAAGGCCCACATCTGGAAGGCGCCACAGATGGCCACTTGGCCGATCAAGGAGACGAGGACTTTGACAGAGACGAGGTTGGCCGTGGGCGCACGCGGATGGATCGGCGTATGCCGCGGCGAGGACGAGTAGTCGGACGACGGCGCCATTGTGCGGGTGCGGGTAGGCAGACCTCGACGCAGAGGTTGCAATTCAAAAGTGTTCGGGACTGAGATGCTGGCAAGAGAGCTGACAGCTGCGAGTGTAAGAATGCGTGTGTTGAGTGAGCCGACCTCGCTATCTGGCTGGCGGATGTGTTTGGTGGAGAGCGACGATGATGTTGCAGAACAGAGTCGAGGTGGACGATGGTTAGGGTCGAAAGCGAGCGATGATGCACACCTGCGTCCAAGTTTTTTTGGCAGCGTAAACGGCGAATGGAAGATCTGACATCTGGCAAGAAATTCATCGGCTTCGGTCGACGGCAACTCAGAGAGACCGATTGGCAAATCAGCTGCACAGATGCACAGACCGACATCATCGGCCAAACGCGCAGTCTCTCTCACAGCTTCCACCATCTCTGACTCGACCTTCGGCGTCTTCCTCTCACTCGAACGTGGATGCCGCGCACTTCTTCGCTGCACACCCTCGTCACCTCGCTGCTCATTCTCCTCGTCTCAGTGCTCTTGTATCGGGATCACCAACGCACTTCCCTATCCACACCTCCAGGAATATACATAGATCAAGAGTTGTCCGACACCGGTCCTTCCTCTCACAGCACCACCACAATCTCCACGGTATCAGCACCCAAGATGCCCAACTCGCGCCCCAAAGTCCTCCTCGTCAACGATGACGGTCCACCCTCGACCTCGTCGCCTCACGTCCTGGGACTCTATTCCGAACTCACCGCTCTCGGATGGGACGTCAGCGTCGTCCTTCCTTCCTTCCAAAAGTCATGGGGCTCGATGCAATTCTCACTCCAAGGTCCCGTAGCATACTGGTACTACTACCCCTTGGCGGACAACTTTGACGGCAAGCACGCGGGCACTGCCGAATCGTGGTCCGCAACACGACGCCCGATCAACCGAGAGCGAGGGGAGATCGCAGAGTGGATCCTCATCGACGGCTCTCCAACCACTGCGTCCAACAGCGGGCTCTTCAACCAAAACGCCTTTTTCGGGTCGACTGCGGAAGAGAGGGAGGCACCAGCCAGCACGAGTACGCCATTCGACCTGGTCGTTTCGGGTCCCAACTTCGGGCGCAATACAGGCACGGCGTTCGCCCTTTCATCCGGCACACTCGGTGCTGCGATGGCGGCCAGTCTCGCAGGCGTCCGAAGCATCGCCGTCTCCTTTGGCCACTTCACAGGTTCCCCACCTACCTTTGCGGACCGATCTCGCGCCCGCGGCCCCGCACTCGACCCACCCACCCTCCGCAGCGTCGCCGCTCAAGCCAACCGTCTCTCTGCCTCCCTCATCCAGCGTCTCTACTCCAACTGGGACAGTGAACCGGACGTAGGGTGCTACTCGATCAACGTCCCGTTGTGCGAGACCGTCAGCAACCCCGAGATAGTCTGGACAAGGATTTGGGAGAACCGCTACGGTCCGCTGTTTGCCGCCAACACCACCTCCAAGTACCCCGCCCCGCCCGCACCGCAGCCTGCCACAGCACCGAAGCCGGAGAACGTGCTGCACTTTGCGCCTAATATGGCCAGTCTGTTGGGGCCGAAACGGTTGCCCGAGGGAACGGATGTGTGGGCGATTCTGAACGGGTATGTGAGTGTTACGAGACTCAGGCCGAACTTCATGGAGGTAGATCGAGAGGGGAGGGGGTTGGATGTGCCTCGAGCGGGAGGAGAGGCGGTGAAGGGTGGGGCGACCGAGAGGGATGCGAGTGAGGGTGTGGAGAAGGGCTTGAAGGATGGATTGGACGTGGGCACTCGATGGCGGTTGTAGATGCACAAGCTGAGACGAAACAGATGCACAGGAATCTGGTGGAACGATAGGTCGAAATGGAATTAGATTGACTTAGACGTCGGGCTTGTCAGGACCCTTGTGAGAGGAGTACACCTTCTTGTGCGACTCGTTGGCCTCGGGGTGGTTGTGCGGCTTGTTCGGGGGTAGATCGATGTCCTGTTGCGCAAAAGCAGGTCGTCAGCATCCGTTCTCGCCATCACTCGTGTCTCTCTGGTGTGTCCTCTGGTGGTCGAATCGAAAGTTGGAAAAAGAAGCACTTACGTGAGCCTGCGTCTCCTGTCGAAGCACGTCGCCGCCCCGACCGCCCGTGTTGACGTCGTCACGCCCGGTCTCGGGGTTGGGCACCGCGTTCAGGGGCACCTTGGGGTCCGCCTTCATATTATTGCGCAGCGAAAAGTTGTTTGGCAGCGTGCCGGCGATTTCCTGCTGCGGACCGGAGGATGTTGGGTTCGACATGATCAGCGTGTAGGACTCGGAGTGGTAGGGGTGAGGGCGCGCTGTGACAAGTGGGGGAGTGGGTCGAAGGGGGAAGGAAGGTCTATATGAGCAGCTTGTAGGCGGCGAAATACTGGAGCTGACGCAGAAACTGTACATCTCGCGGGCGGTTCCCGCGGTCAGCACTGCTTCTCGACGTCACATGAGCTCATGAGCTCATCCTCTCCCATCCGGACTGAGCCTGATCTTCAGCTCGCTGCACGACCCGACGTCGAACAGAGCAAGAGGCCCGGCAAAAAAGCAAGATGAGTGATCCTCCACGTCGCCTAAAAACGCTTGCGCAACGCGACATGACGCTGTGTGCTTCAGTCAGCGCACGCCTTAATTCTTCCGAGAGCTAGAGGACCTCGGATGAGATCATCGTGTCGGCTGTCGTTCGGGGCCTGCTCATTGCTGCTTGCTCAGGAAAGGATGTGCTTTCTGATAGATTCGAATCGTCCGCTCGGCTCACCATCGCTAGTGATGAGGGGAAAGTTGACTTGATTGAGTGAGAGAACGCAAAGAGGCTAACACCGGAGGAGACAACAACAATCGACAGCCGGGAGTGACATTGGATCACGACATCGAGGGGTGAAAGGCATGAATCCGACAAGCCACCTTCGTGCCACTACTCGTAGCCGGGCACGGCGCTCAGCTCGGGCGTACCTTTTGCAGGAGGCGGAGCATACTTCGTCTCGAGGAAGGCCTTGATGTAAGGGATGCCCTTGCTCTCGTCGAAGCGCTTCTCGTCGAAAGCCTTGTACGCCTTGGCGATGTCCTCGAACTTGAAACGGTGCGTCAAGATGAGTGTGGGATCGAACTTGCCCGTCACGACGTACTCGTTGATGATCTTATCCATGTAGCCTTGCGTCGGAGCCTGGCCGCAGCCCTTGAGCGTCACACCCTTCTCCATCAGTGCACCGATCAGGAAACCATTGCAGAGACCCACGTAGTCGGCGATGACCGAGATGCGGCCAAACTTGCGCGTAGCGCGGATGGCCTCGTTGAGGTTCTCGGGCGTGTCCGTCTGCAAGTTGAGCGACTGCATTGCCTTGTGGTAGAATGACTTGGCGTATCGGAAGCCGGCTGCGTCGAAAGAGACGTCGACTCCGCCGGGCACCTTCTTGAGAAGCTCCTCGGCCACCTTGGGAGTGTGATCAAAGTTGACCACTTCGACGTTGAGACGGTCCTTGACCCACTGCAGACGAGGGGCGACGTTGTCGATGATGATCACCTTTTTGGCGCCGAACACTCGGACGAGCCACTGAGCGATGAGCTGACCGATAGGGCCGGCGCCCCAGATGGCGGCCGTCTCGCCTTCCTTGAAGTCGATGTCGACGACGGCGTGGTACGAGGTGGGTGTCACATCGGCGAGCAGGATCGCTTTCTCGTCGGGCACCTCGGGAGGCAGGTGGAAGCAGTTGACCTCGCCGAAAGGCATGCGGAAGTACTCGGCCTGGGTGCCGGCGTAGCCACCGAGGAGGTGTGAGTAGCCGAGGATGCCGCCGATCTTCTGCCCGTAGAGCTCCTGCATGTCCTTGCTGGGGTTGGTCTCCTCGCACATGCTGTACTTGTTGTCCTTGCAGTAGCGACACTTGCCACAGCCGATGGAAAACGAGGCGACGACACGATCGCCAGGTCGGAAGTCGACCACCTTGGCGCCGACCTGGTGGACGATGCCGACGCCCTCGTGGCCGAGGATCTCGCCCTTCTTAAGGTTGGGGATCATGCCATGGAAGAGGTGCAGGTCGCTGCCACATACAGTGGCGGCCGTCGACTGGATGATGATGTCGTCCGGGTCGGTGATCGTAGGGATGGCATGTTCAGCAAGCCGAACGTCCTTGGTGCCGTACCAGGTCAGGGCCTTCATGGTGCCCTCGCCCGGCTTGTACTGGGTCGCGGTGGCCGTGGGAACTTCTTTGGTCATGTTTGCGCTCGCTTCGTGTGGTTGATGTGGAAATTACTGGTTGGATGTCGGTGAGAGCTGCCGGATCGTGGCGACGGAGAGTGCGAGATGGACGGCGAGAGGAGCTTCATCCGGATCCCTCGTCGTTTATATACGGAGAGACATGCTGAGTTCTACGACTGAGCCATGACTACGCTCCTTCTTGTGCTCAGCCTGGTATGCAGTACAGCGATGTGCTGCTTGAGCCATTTCGTAGGTGAAGACGTCGCTTGTCAGCGTTTGCCAGGCGTAGGAAGGCTGACGGTGTTTCAGCGTGACCCTGCCAGCTAGCGCGTATCACACGACACCGCATCAGCCAGGGCTTAGTCACTGTTGCTCGACGATGCCCATAGCGCAGACCGAAGGCCTTTCGTGCTGATTTTTCGTACTCCAGGGAGCCACAGCGAAGCTCGAGGAAGCCCGTGCATGTCGGCCGCGACCGCGACGCGAATGATGCGGGATGAGGGGCTGAATGTACTTGACCAAGGAGCGTCAGCGAGAAACGGGAAGGCCGTCGTCAGCTCAAAGTGGCGTTGGGCATTCGCGATGGGAATGACACAGCTGAATCACAGGCCAAGGCGTGACCGATTGCAAGGAGATCGAAGATGCGTTTGCGAAGTGGCTTTGCGCTCGTTGCACTTCTCTCTCGCTCGGCTATGACTCAGCCACACTTTAGATACGCTTCTTTGTGGAGCTTGACTTTCTTCCGTCCATCCCGTGCCTGGGCCGACAGCTGGGACACTGAGAGCGTCCTGCCACACTGAGCAGATGTCTTGTCGCGAAGAATGAATCCGAGTGCACGTCGCTGCAGCCGACAACGCGCTGAATCCCCTCTTGAAAAAAACGCAACGACATGAACAGCCATCTCGGAAATCAAGGACATAAATACGCGGTCCCTTCGCTGCTCAGATCTCGTCGTGCTAGGCAGGCCGGCAAGTACGCGTGCACGCTTTGAACAGGTTCGCAGGGGTATCATTGCATGGGAGTACGCCCGCCTCATTCGCTCCAGTCTGACTCGTCGAGCTGTTCGCGGAGAGAGACGCCGAAGGGTTTGATCCGAGTGCGCTTTTGCGACTGTGCACGCGACTCGGGATGTGTGGTGAGCTCCGTTTTGACTGTCGCAGAAGAGCCTTTGCCACGTTTCGAACGTCTTCTAGAACTGCTTGAGGCGGATTCAGGTGACGACACTGACTGGTAAGACTCGATCTTTATAGCCTGGGCTGGCGGTGACTGCCGTTCCATGCTGCGTGCCAATGCGGCGATCTCGGCGTTTCTTTCGTGTTCGAATGTGGCCGGCCAAACCCCAGCAGCGATCTTTGCTCGTTCGACATCAGACCGCTCGGTCGGATCCGTTCGGAGAAGCGACGCCATTTCGTCCACATCAAAGAGCAGTTCGTCAACTTGCGCGTCTGTCAGTGCATCGAGAGGATGAGCGGAAGATCTGCGACCATCGTCGCCAACTCCTGCATCGAGTAGACCGGCAGCTTCCAGCTTCCGTCGAACGCGAGACCAGACCTCGCTGCTACCGCCGTCCGACTCAGATGGTGCCTGATCTCGAGATGTGGAGAGGAAACAGTCGAGTTCGTCCTTGTTCATCTCCTCTTGATCTGTAGCGTGTTCGGCGCCGACTTCCCCGGCGGATCTGAAGCTCGCCGTTGATGGGTTTGGCCGATAAGGGTCGACAGGTCGGAAATGCGATGTACTCAGCTTCGAAGTTACATCTCGACTTTCGCTGGAGTGTGTGCTGCGCCAGACATCCAGGATATCAAGGGCGTGAACAATGACATCCAGGCGGGCGAGATTCGTCGTTGTGGCGATGCTAGCACGTTCGCCAGCTCGTGCGACTAAACGCTGCCTTTCGCGTCGCTTCTTGCTGACCGGAGCCGCATCAAAGAGCCAGGGTATCTTGGCTGCCTGCGTGTTCAAGGCCGCGCACAGCTCTTTGTAGTATACAACGGCATTCTTGCTCATCGTAGCGTCGCCGCTTGGGCCGTGACCGCGAGCTTGTTCGGAGTCGATGACGTTGGAATTGAACTGGAGAGCCGCCTTTGTACAGCGAAAGATCTCGAAGATCGGCGCTGAAGCCTTGAGATGTGCTTCCATGGCGAGGACGATGCTCGCAAATGCAGCCAGAGGCGCAGGGACGGCAGGATGGCTTGGACGATCGGGCCACCACAAGGCGCAGAGATCGAGCGCTGTGGCCTCGATCGCCTCAAACGATGTGCTGGTGGACACTGGACTTGCCTTGCCCTCGCGACTCGAATTCGCGCTACTTCGCCCGAGGGGTGAAAGGAACTTGACGATGGTAGGATGGAGGGCCGATGAGGGTCTGTGCCTCAGGTGAAAGCGGAAGAAGGCGACGATACGGCGCAAATAAACGTCTGGATTGGCGAGTTTGACATTTCGCACTGCTTCCTTGACCAGCAAACGCAGGTGACGGAAGGCGGCCCGCACTTTGAGTGAAGGCAGCTGAGCAGCATGTGACACGGTCTCGAGGTCGATACGGACGCCTGCGCGACGTAGGACGGCGTAGCAGCAGGCAGTAGCAAGGTGCAGGGAGCCGCTGCCCCAACGCACCCGGCGCGGTCTGAGGCTTGCGGGCACTAGGGTCGAGGATGAGGCGAGAAGTGCTTCTACGTCTTGAACGTCTGAATCGTTGTCCTCATTGACCGCATCTGCGGAAGCCGATCGCTTCCACGATTCGTTTTTAGCACGCTGGAAGAGAAAATCGACTTGTTCGAAGAAAGAAGGGCTTCCGAGCTTGTTGAGCGTACCGAGTGTATGGGCATCGACTTCAGATTTGCGCTGAAGCGCATAGACTTGATGCTTGTGATCGGGGTCGTTGGACCAGAAGGAGGCCACAGGAGCCAACTGCGCAGAATCCGAGGCTATGTGCTGCCCTCTTCTGCCAAGTTCATAGACGGCTTGGAGCACGTCAGTGGGCTCGTAGAACTGGAGATCATTCGAGATGTAGCCGCACATGGAGCAAATTCGTTGACCGATTTCGGCCAGCAGCGCGGAGGCATCTTGTGAGCCGCAATCCGGACAGACTTGTTGCATGGTGGCGGTGATGATTTGGGAGCGAAGATTCGGGTCACCTCTGCAAATGCAGCGAGGCGAAGAAGGGTTCACCGCATCGTCTGTCTGAGTAGATCGCCGGCTGATAAATGCTCCGGTGCGGCCGACTGCCTTCGCTCAGCGACTTTGGTGGTGTAGTGTGAGTTGGAAGGAAGGGATGGTTGTCATGATCAATGGCGGCAACGGCTCAGTTCGAAGGTCATGCAGGAACGCAGCAAGGGAAGAAGGACCCTTGATCGACCGAAAATTCCATAACTGTTACGCCGAAGGGTCTGCTCTGCTAAGTCAAAATGCCAAAGTGAATCACGACACGAAAGGGTGAAACAAGAAGAAAAGTGGGCCTGTCTCTGAGTGCAAGCGAGGAGAGCAAAGGCCAACATGGTCGCGCTGTTGATCACCTCGAACGTATCACATCCTCTTCTGCTCAGCAACATCACCAATCTCGTCACCTCATCCCATCGGCACGGCCAGTCTCCGCGCCATATACTCGCCTCGTTCATCCGCACGTCGGCTGCTACGCTCAGCTCAGCATTCCGGGTGTCAAGCGACGAACGCTTCCCACGGTTCTTACCGCGCTTTCACCCTTCTCCGCAGCACCTCGATCGACTGGACCCGCATCTCCCATTCGGCTGCACCCGACAACTTGGCGATAGCTGCGGGCCGGTACCTGCGCATCGTCGTGCTGAGCAATCTTCCAGTCAAACCGCTGCTGGCAGTCAACTCGCATTCCGTCCTGGCTAGTGCCAATTCAGCGTCCATCATCAGCCGCTGGCTCGCCGGGTAGTTGATGTTTTAGACCTTTCTCCCACATTTCATCTCTCGACGGCATTCATCTTTCCGACTGGTGATCTCGCCCCTACTCTCACCTCATCATGTCCTATCCGCAGCACGCTTCGCCTGCGGGCGCCGCTCCCTACGTGGCAGCTAGTCCCAGCGTCATCCGCAGCCAGCATCTTCCATACATCCCACCACAGCAGCAGCAGCACCCAGGTCCCGGCCTGCCATCGCTACCGTACGGTCAACATCCGCAGTCACAACACTCTAGCTACCTGCAGCAAGGTCAGCAGCCCTTGAGACCCATCGCGGGGCTGCCTGCACCTAACCGAGCTTTGCATGCTCCTTCCATGCCTTCGCAACGGGCCCAACTCGGTCCTGGCAAGCCTCAGACCCCCTCATCGATACTTCAGCAACGAACTAGCTCCACCAGGATACCACACGCATCTGGCGATCCCGCCGTGTCCTTCAAACGTCTCAAGATGATTGGCGACGGCTTCGAAGCGCCCTATCTTGTCCCAGGCCCTAGCAATCGCATTCTCCTCTCGCTCAAGTCCGGCCTTCCATCGCAGATCGACTGGGCGCTGTCTCGTCTTGTCTCGCTCACCGCCAATCATCGCGACCAGGCGGCTCGCGACTTTACCCTCGACAGCGTTCCAGGCCTCGCAGATGCGTTGCTCTCCTTCGTGCGAAGGATTCACGCCGCCCTGACTGGCCAAGACCCCTCCAAATGGGCTGCCTCCTACTTTGAGCAATCCACCGAAGCTCCCGATGTTGGTATTGGAGCTCCTGGTGACGGCGGCCATCAAGGGATCACCACCTCTCAACGCGCGCTCGTACACCGATCCGGACCAGTCAACGGCCAGAGCTCAGCATTCGCATTCAACCCGTCTTTGGATCCGTCGCACGCCGCACTTATGCGCAGAGCTCTCGAGGCTGCCTTGTCACTGCGTAACATGGTCCACCACACCTCGAACTCGCGCAGTCTCGGCAGCATCAAGGGGACTTTGGTCTTGATTCGCGACATCTTGCGTCTGCCCACCACGGCAGTGCAACGAACAAGTCAAGACGAAGCAAAGCACGGAGCGTCGGGATCAGAACATGAAGAAGGATGGCTCGAGATCGAAGGCATCGCAGAACTGCGTCTCTACTTCCTCGACATTCTCGAGGCACTAGCTAATAGGGTCACGTTGACAAGACGGGCGGCCAGCGTACCAGCACCGTCCAAAGCGCTTTCGATCGCGAATGGATCCGATGCAACAAAGGCAGACACGGCGCCCACAGCCGGCGACGACATTTTCGCGACGCTCCTCTCGCTGGCGCTTCACTCCAAGGATCGCGCGTTCCTGATGGGTTCGCTTCGTTGCCTCACGACCTTGGCGGCCAATGATCGCAACGAGGTGGCTTTCGTCGAAGTCACACTTCCAAATGGAGAGCAGTCGCCCGGTCTCTTGCAACGCTGCGTCGAGTTGCTGCCCTTGACGCAAGACGTCGAGCTGCTCGAGGTCGCTCTGGACTTGCTCTACCAGCTGGTCTGCATCGGCAACAACGCCATCAAGATCGCTGCCCCGCTCCCCATCCACAATCGTCAGGACGAGTCGCAAGCACCGCGAGAAGCGCGCCAGCAGAACGGTATCTCAAAGGGATCCTCAGCACAGACAGCCAGTGCGCGTGCCAACGCCAATACCACTGCGCTCATTCGCCTGCTGTCGCGCAACCTGCAGCTCGGACGCATCATGTGGGAGCGTCTCATCCCACTCAAGGTCCCCTCGGCGTGGTTTGCCAGCATACCCAATCGCCATGCTGAGGCGGTCGACCGCAGGCGCGAGCTTCAGATGCGCATCGCCAACGAGACGCCGCAAGAGCGCGCCAAACGCAAGAAGCTCACACCGAAGGAACGGAAACGTTTGCTCGGCCTGCAGGAACCTGAACGTGGCATTGCGTGGATGAGCATGGTCTTCGATCGCGACGGGGAACAGGAAGTCACCCAGATGGAGTTCTGGACCGCCTACAAGGAAGAATTCGCCCTGCAGAGCGACGGTGTGCCTTTGCAGCCGGCGGCCGAGTTGATTCGCGCTGTTGGTCAGGTCTTCCCTAATGCGCAAGCCATGGTCGTTCCCAAGACCGATACCACACCTCAACGCTTCGTCATCAAGGGTATCACCGTCAGGGAAAGGGACATCGAGCTGCTCGAGCCTTTCCGCTGCCATTGGTCGACGTGTCCAGCCCCCCAAACCAACTCGCTCGAATCCCAGCGAAGTCATGCCAAAGTACACGCGCAGTATGCTTCGGATGGTCGCTGTCGATGGAGGCGATGCGACTTTGATGCCAAGAGCTCTTCGACGGCAGCTGGCACCGTGAAACACCAGCAGGCCCTCGTGGCTCACGTGCTGACGCACGTTCGTTCGGACGAGGAAGGCGGTCGTCCGGCAAAGCAAAGCAAGCGCACCGACATTGTTGTCGACGAAAACCTCCGCGTTGTGTCAGGAGCTGAACACACTGGAGAGGCTGCGAAGCTCGTTGCGGCCAGGTCATCTCACGGCGGACGCACTCTGCGCGGCAAGCGAGATGCGGATGGTGTCGAGACTGCCTTAACCCTAGGCAAGACATCAGATCGAGGCAGCGCTGCGGTGAACGGGGCTGCGAATGGAAGGAAAGCGCCATCGAGCGCAGCGCCCTCAGATGGTACCGTCGACAACCCTGGCACCTACTTGTTGGACGTGACGCGCACGCCTACGGTTGGCAACAACGACGAAAATCCATCGCCTCAAGGACCAGCCTACACATCGATTCTGATCCTGCGTATGCTGACGAGGAGAGCGGCATCGTTGCTGCAGAAAGCTGGATCGAAACGGAGCGAGCAAGACGAGGACGAGCAGGATGCAGCCGCGATACGTGGTCAAGGAGACGAAAAGTTTGGATTGCCGCTGCCTGCCAACTTTGGCGCATCAGAGCGAGGGAGCAAGCATGGCCAGCCCGAGGACGACCAGACGCCCGCCCAAGGCGATGCTGGAGAAGTATCGGTGCTCGACAACGAGGAAGAGGACTACGAGACTACCGAGACATGGGCAGTGGACGCCGCGACACGATTGTTGGATGCGGTCGAGGGGGTGGAGGAAGACTTGATGCATCACTCATCGCAGAACGATATCTTGTCGTCGTACATCAACGAGACGCTGTTGGAGCTGCGTCGACGACCGGCCGGCACAGGTCTGACGTCGACTCAGCTGGATCCACGGATGCTGTAGACGCTCTCCAGCGTGTTAGTTTGCTCAGCATTGAGGCATTCGCCTCGCTATTTTATCCACTATATCAAAATATCTGTCTGTAGAGCTATGTGCGTGTAGGCAGCAGGCCATGAGTTCGACTGTATGCAGCGTGAGCACCGTCGTGGTCGCGATCGTCCCGAGCGAGTCTGTGATCCAGTAGATGCACTGGCAGTCACGAGGTGTGGCGGTTGTGGCTTGGTTCGAAGCACTGAAAACGCGCAGCAGCTGATGCGGACGGACCGGCTGACCCAGACGCGCTTAGCTTCGCGGTCTGTCACAAATTCAGGGTGCAGCACCGTTAGATCACATGTCCGCATGCCACTCCGAGCCATCACACCATCATCACCATCACCATCACATCACCCTCCTCCGCATCACATCCGACGGCCACCGTCTCTGTCCATCATTAGACGGTCTCTCACTTGACGCTCCACCTCTGCTGCCGGCCAGCCATCTCAGCGCCACAATGGGATACATCCCCACCAGCCGATCGCCTTGAACTGTGCATCTTTCGCAGACTATCCTTCTACCTTTACACAAGACGAGTCTCTCATAGAGTCAACGCAGACATTCAACAAACACTTTTGCGCTGGGTCTTCTCATCATGGCGTCCTACAGTCCGACGTCATCGCCGACAGTGCATGTCAACAAATGGTCCGAACAGCAGGTCGTCGATTGGCTCTCCTCTGTCGGTCTCACCAAGTATGCCCGGGACTTCAAGTCGAATGGCATCACTGGCGATGTGCTCGTCCTGCTCGACGATGAGGCGCTCAAGGATATTGGTGTCGTCACCATCGGTCAGCGTCTCGCGCTCCTCACCGCCATCTACCATCTGAAACAGCAATACGGCATCCCGATCCAGGAAGGGGACTGGATCCCCAAGTCGGTCGAGGCGCAGGAGCAGTCTTCCAGTACGCTTGCAACAGCTCACATGGCGACTGCACTGCGCCAGCGAGACGATCGCATCCGCCTGTTGGAATCACAGATCCTTCGACTAGCGGACTACCTCGCTCGCTTTCAGCAGGACATGGCGTCAGTAGCGCGACACGTCGGCGTTAAGGCGCACTCGATAGACACTCCCATCACGCTGGTGTCCAACTCGTTCTACTCTCAAAATCCATCCGAAGGCAGCGCCAACTCCATGTCTGCCTTTGGCTCCAATCCTGATTTGGCTTCCACCGCCGCGTCAAGCGTGCCTCACCACGACTCGCCCAATTCCCGCAACTTCGCTGGCCTCGTCTCCCCCACCCGCACTGGCTTCTCGTACAATGCAGGGCACGGCATGAGCGGCTTCAGGCCTACCACCGCAACATCTGGCAGGTCCAACAGTATCGGTGGCCACTCGCCCATGACGCCGACCACCTCTGCTGCACACCTGTACGCCGCCAACTCTTCCAACAACTCGGGCGCAGGGGATCTCTCGCCGACGCAGCCCGCGCCGCCCGCCTTGCCATCTCAGTCTGGCTACTCACAACAGGCGCAGCCCTTGAGCGCAGGGTTCACTTCATCTATGGTGAGCCCGACGCGTCGACTTGCTCACCAGAACTCGCTGGCGCAGCCAGACTCGGCAGTCTCGTCTCGGCCCCGCGCTGGTTCGTTGGGCGGAGGCAACGCCTTCCCGTCTTCCACCTCGTCTCCTTTCGGTAGCAGTGCTCATGGCAGCGGTGGCCACGTCGGAAGCAATGGCAGCGCATCAGGCAGCGCTTCAGCCGGCAGTCCCTTGTTGGATCGCGACCCCCGCAAGGATGCATCCAGCAACCCATCGTCCGAGCCGAACCCGAAGGCGGGCGCCGCGGCAACGTCAACATCGTCCGCATCGGCTGCAGTCGCCAACATGGGCTCGTCGGACAGCAACCCGTACAAGTCGTTCCGCGTCACGCTCGACGATCCGTGCTACAAGGTCCTCCCTGCGGCGCTCAAGAAGTACAAGATCAACGACGACTGGCGCAAGTACGCGCTCTTCATCTGCTACGGCAAGACCGAACGGTGTCTGAGTTACGACGAGAAGCCGCTGCTGCTGTTCCAGAAGCTGAAGGAGAATGAGCAGAGTCCGGTGTTCATGCTTCGGCACATTCGGGATGTCAAGTCGCCCATCGCCATTGCTGAGGCCAAGGCGACTAGCAAGCAGCAGGAGAAGGAAGGCGAGGGCAAGACGAGTCCCAAGAAGGGCGCTGCGCCGAGGGCCGATCGACGTCGGGTCATTGCTGGCGCGCCGCCGGCGGGTGCCGTGGTGACCAATGCAAGCAACCCGGTAGAGGTTGGGCCGGCAGCAGAGGTTCCCGAGCGCAACAAGGTGGCGAGGACGTACGCGGTAGCCATCTACCCATACATGCCCGAGCGCGACGACGAGTTTGACGTCAACGTCGGCGACACCTTCGTTGTCATCAACAAGGCTAAAGGCTGGTGGATCGTGCAGCGCGATGCAAAGGGTGACGGCGCAGGCGATATTGTCTACAGTGTACCTGCCAGCGAGATGGGCTCGGACGAAGACGACGGGATCACCTATTCCAACTACCGCGCGGAGCACTCCTCTGGCTGGGTGCCCGCCGGCTGTCTTCTCGAAACATCTCGACCGTTGGGCAGCATCGTCGACGCCGACGCCAACTCCTCGCGCTCAGGACCGAGCACGATCTCAAATCCATCCACGCCGACCATCTCGCCAGGTGGTGGCAAGATGGACTCCAAACGCGCCGCTATCCCGCCGAGCCTGATCACGAGCACCAGCACACCCGGCGTGATGCTCATGGACTACCTCAGCGCAGAGGGCGACCTGGATCTTCGGAAGGATGAGAGGCTGAGGGTGTTCAAACGGTACAATCACTGGTCGTACTGCGTTCAGGAGCGGGATGGACATGCGAGAGGTTGGGTACCCAGTTGGTACATCGGCAAGCTGCCGTCAACGGGGACGGCCGGAAGCGGGGGACTGGCAAAGTCACCAAGCGGCAAGGCGCTGTCTACTGTGGCTAGCCTGGATTCGAGGTTCACAGGCGATATTGGCGGGGCGGGGGCTGGGTCGCCGTCGTATGACGGTGGGCAGGACCGGGGAGCGGCCATGGCAACTGGTTAGAGTAGAGGACTGGAGTCAATCGACACTCTTTGATGTGCTTCTTGTGTATGTGTGTGCTGTCAGGCTGAGGAGCTGAACATTATCATCTGAGAATATCCTTTCAACCCGAAAAGGGCTCGAAAAATAAGGCTACAGAAAGGCGCAAAAAAATTGGCGAACTACGTTGGGCGTCCCTCAGGCAAGCCAACCCTGGAACTGGCCTACCGTCATCGAACCCGCCTGTGCGTTGTGAGCGTGTAACTGCGTCTGAGAAGAACAGAGAGAGCGTGAGTTTGCTGCTGTAGCGAAATCTTACCAGGATTTGTCTTCTCTGCGCTGTTTCGAAGGGAGAGGAAGTCAACGTTTTGCCTACTTGACCTAGAGCCTAAATGCGTCAGCCAAGCCCGACTTCGCGCTTTCCACTCGAATAATCCCAAATTTAAACCCAATACGACGAGGCGAATCGAACACACGACCAACCCCACTTCACAACTGAATATGTTTGCAACCTGCTGTAATCCAACTCGGTCACCGTAGTTCAAGTGTTGCCGAGCCCACTTCGTAGCTTGCTATATACCTTGGCGCCATGTTCGCCACCTGCGATCGCACCAAGTTGGTATGCCACAACACATCGCTTTGTTCGTGACCCTTGCGAGGCATTGAGTCGATCAGCATCCAAACACAAACAAGAACACAGGGGCCATGGTACGGGAACATCATTAGAGTTGCATGCAATAAGCGGTCTATAGACAGAACGACCGCATCTAGACGTGAGAAAATGTCCGAAGTTTGATCACAACCTCTTCTCGATCTCGGCGAGCTTCGACGGGTGTTGCTGTTGCGGAGCTGCCGAGCCCAGATTCTTCCCATCCGCGAGCTGCTGGAAGTACGACTGCAGGTCCTCCTCCATGACATCCACCTCGTCGACCTCGCCCTTCTCGGCCTTGGACGAGTGGAACATGCGTTCGAGCTCGGCCATCTTCTGCTGCCTGTCGAGCTCGGGATTGTAGTGCCTGTGCCTCTTGAGGACGACACGCTCGTAGAAGGACAGGTGACGCGGGTGGATGGCGACACCGTGGTAGTCCGACTCGCGGCCTTGAACGACGCATTCCCAGTAGCGTTCCTGCTCGCGAAGGTCGAGACCCGTCGTGTCCGGGATGAAGACCATTGTTAGGATCCAGCCGAGCAGGCCGAACCACGACACTACCCAGAACTTCGTTCTGTTTTCTATGTAGTTGTAGAGGATGGCAGGAGCAAGGGCTCCGAGCTTGCCGACGGCGGCGGAGACACCATGCGAAGTGGCGCGGATGGAGGCCGGGAAAACTTCGGCGGCGAGCAAGAAAGTGGTGGAGTTGGGCCCGAATTGGTTGAAAAAGGAGCTCAAAAAGTAGATCGCCTGGAAGGCCTTGACTCCTCCACCAGGCTTGGTCAACGGGTTGAACAGCGCCGCTCCAATGATGAAGAGAATAAAGTCGGCAATGAACCCGTTGGCCTGCATCCACTTTCGCCCGTACTGCTTGTGGTCGATCAACAACGCCGCCAGATAGTACCCTGCGAGCGAGATGATGATGTTGTAGAGGTTGTACAGCCAAGTCGTCTCCAGCCCGCCTCGGTTGCCCGTGATGATGTTGATAAAGATGCCGCTGAAGATCTTGTTGCCGTAGAAGAAAAAGTCGTTGGCGAACCAGCCGAGGGCCGTGCCGACGAGACGGTGCCAGTAGTGGTTGAGCGAGAGCTTGAGGGACTTCATGTCGTAGCCCGAGGTGCCAAGTCGCTTTTTGGCTTGGCGGAGGGCGGCGTCCTGATAGGTCATGCGGTAGTAGCGGATGTAGGCGAGGTAGAGAGTAAAGACGGCGATAATGCCGAATTGGACGCGGAAAGTCCACTGGGTGGAGGTGGTGGAGTAAGGGGCCGCGAGCGAGCCGTGGAAGATGAGAAGGCCGATGATGAGGACGGCCTGGTTGGCAAGTTGACCCCAGCCCTGCATGAGGAAGGACAGGGCCACCTTGCGACCACGGTGCATTCGATCGCCGGTGGTGGCAGCTCGACCGGAACCGGTCCCCTCCATGGCTCGGGTGGATGTCATGGGGTATTCGCCACCAACGCCGATACCGTAGATAAAGACGGACCAGGCGTAGCAGATGACCCATCCGTTGAGCGAGTTACCCCACATGGCCGTCAGCATCACCGATCCCAGCGTCATCACCAACGCATCCTGCACCATACCGAAACGTCGTCCAATCCAGTCACCCTCGATACCGACGAGGATCTGACCCACGATGATACCGACAATCTCGAGGTAGTCGATGGCACTGACCCAAGTTTTGTCGCACACCTCGTGAGTCTTCCAGCATGCTGGCCACACCGCCTTGAAAAGCGGCGTCAAGTTTCCCACCGAAAAGAGTGTATAGCCTTCGACAAAGAGACCGAGACCGGTGATGACGTAGTTGTTGTAGTAGGCACGCAGCGGCGAAAGGGGGTCGCGCTTGAACATGCTACCGATCTCGCCGAGCTCGCGACGAGCTTCTGTGTTGGACTGATTGGTGATCCATCGCGTCTTTTCCCAGAAGGGGAGGTCGGCCCAGTAGGTCTTGGTGTCCGCGGTGTACGAGTCGGCGGGGAAGAGGGTTTCGTCGAGGACGTGCGATTGGCTTGAGTGAGGGCCGGTGTGGGCGTTGTGTTCGTTAGATGGCTCCAAGGGAGGTGTCGAGGCGGATGATTGGGAGTGCGCGTCGCCGGCGTGGCTGGATGATGCTGCCGACATCATCTCGGTGCGGGGCTCGGCCATGGTGTAGATGTGGCGACAACGGTCTTGATCGTCCGGAGAGGGAGGATCGAGAGTGAATGTGTTGTCGAGATGAGAAAGTGAGGAGGAGGTGACTTCTAAGGTGGGGGAGAAGGAAGGTGAGAAGGTCGAGGAGCGGCGCAGCTTTATGAGAAGTGACACTTCTTACGCCGAGCACGCACACACCGTCAAGAGTGATTGAAGCAGCAGCAGACAGCGACACCGACTCGAGAGCAAAGACGGAAACGATCCATCGGATGTGACGGCGACGTAGCGAGAATTTTTCTTCCACAGCTCACAACCGCAGGCGTGGGTTGGAGAAAGCGGCGCCGATTGAGCCCACGGCATCCACTGCAGAAAAAACAGAGCGCAAAGCGGCAGAGCGGAGTTGGGCAGATTTTTATTTTATCAAAACAAAATAAAAAGTGGCGAGGGAAAATCCAGAAACTTGGACCAGATTTGCGTCCGTTCTGATAGCCGCGAGAAGCAAGCATGATGGAGGGCCTTTGCTTGCTGCTGGATTGCCCCAGGTAGGAGACGAGACAAGCTTGAAACGAGTCCGACCGGCTTCTCCATGGCAATGACGAGCTGTCGAAAGGTTGCCCACCCAAGATGCGTGAGTGGTGGGACCCCCCCACGAGGTCGAGAACGTTTTCGAGCTTGAGCATCTTAGCTGCTTTCACTTGAGCGCTCCCACTCAAGCTTCCGATGATCCGCCTCGTCTTGAGCTGGTGAAAGTAGTCTGCATCTGCAACCCGGACAGGGACGCCCATCGGTGCAGAACGGAGATGGACAACAAGCAACCGGCTGAATCGTTGGGCGGATCGTCTTGGCCGAAGGAGGCGACCGGCAAGCGTTTGCTGCTCCCAAGCGGAAATCTCCTAACGAGTCTCGCTTCGAGGCGTGCATCCTCGCAGTTCGAATTTTGATTTGGCGGTTGTTCTGCTCGCCTCCTTCCTCCGCTGCCACCAATTGGACTCCCTCCCTCCGCGTTTGAGTTCCAGCTCGACTCCCGCTTAAGCTTGCCTTGCATCAAGATGCTTTGTCCCAAGTCGTGTGACCAGCGTCAAGCTCGAATGATTCGGAGATGTCGCAGAGGAGACCTCCAGTCGGATGTGTCGGTCAGTCGGAACAGGCCGCCGATCGACTTTGAGCCCACCACGCAAAGCTTCGGATGCTCTCGCGATGAAAGCGGTTGTCGTGACTGATCTCCCAATGCCGACTGTCGGGTCGTCCATCCCGTTCCATTGTGACCGCAAAGGAAGAGCCATCGGACCACCCACCGCCAATGATGTCGATGATGACGATGGAAAAGGGTCCTGTCGCAGAGGCTTGACCGGTTTTGCATCTTAGCGAGGCGTCCACGTTCCACTTGATTGCAGGCAACCCACAACGCATTTCCAATTCCGCACCCGGTTATCGTAGAAGGGTCGAGCGTAAGGCAACACTTTATCGAGATGCTGGCCTCGCCTCCCCGATACTCCAGCTCACCGACTTATTCCCATGTCGACATTTGATCGTTGCCGTCGATGACGCAGACACCGATGCATGAGCAGCTGATCCTCACCTGACACTCGCCGTTCCAAATTGACAGACTCCTGACGCCAGTTGGCCGATCATATTCAAGACCCTGAACGGCCAACACACCGCTCATGACTTTCTTGTGTCGTCATACTCTACCTACCTGGCAAGCTGCGTTGCCACAAACCTTCCCCACGTTCTCGAAGCCCACCTCAACCCACATGCCGGGACGTTGCTCCGTCGTTTGCATGAACCTGACAATACTGCTCCTCTCCAGAGCGCCCAGTGCACTCCTTATCCTTCGCCAAAGATATCCAGGTTTGACCCGGCTCGCGTACCTGATGTGAGATGGCGGTTTCCGTCAAGACGCCTGTCCGCCGCAATCGACGGCCTGATGTGTCGGAACACGGCATCTGATACGATTGTGCCAAGGCTGAGACGTGCCCTTCGCCCCACCTTACACTACTTAGCGGTCTGTGACCGACCCACGTCGTGCGCACGTGCAGAGGTCATTGCGGGCCAAGCTTCGCAAAGAACATTCCAGCGCACGGTGAGGTTTTGCGTTCAACCTTTGTATGCATCACGTCGCTGTCAGAGGGTCCCGCGCACTAACACAGCACAGAGCAAGGGAATGCTTTGAGATCAATGAGATAGATTCCCGATCAGGTTCGATCGTGCGAGGTCTGTCCCTCACGGCATCAACCCTCGAATGTTGGCGCTCTTCACGCTCCCATCCAAGATCAGCTCCGACATGACCTTGCCCGTTCCCAGCGAGTTGGTGATGCCCCAGCACGAATGACCTGCAGCTACGTAGATTCCATCCTTTCCACCAATGATCGGATTGCCGGTCCGGTTGCTGACAGGAAGGTAGCACGCTTGCCTGGCACGCAGCGTCGCTCCCGCTTCCAGATCCAGCGAGGAAGGCGAGAGCACCTTGCTCTGCTCCAACAGCGCCGTGATCTTCTTCTCGTCAAATCCTACTTCGTCCGCCATCTCTGGCAGCGGGACATCGTCGGAGCCACCGCAAACGTACGCAGTGCCGTCTGGGCGACAGTAGAGCTCCGGAGCACCCGCCTTGCGACCACCAGGCCCGTAGGCCATGTCAGTGAACAAGCAGTCTGCCGACAAGGGTTTGTGCGACTCGATCACCACGCTGTGTGCTCTTGATCCATCGACGGACGATGCCGATTTGAGGTGCGCGGGGAGGAGGTTGCGAGGGAAGAGTCGAGTGATGAGCGACCCAGTCCAAGGTCCAGCAGCGATCACCAAGTCGTCGACCTCAATCGACTTCGTCTCGCCCGAGTTTGAGTCCCTGATCTCGACCTTGTCTACCTTCTGGCCATCCTTGAATTGCAAGCCTGTCGCTTTCGAGTTGAACAAGACTTGCACTCCTGCCTTGCGCGATTCGTCAACAAGGTGCTGCGTTAGCTGCCCGGGATGAACTTGCGCCGTAGTACCTCCTCCACCCATATTTGACGTCGATTTCACAATATCGTTGTCGAGCCAGCTGATGGCAGATTTGGCTTTCTTGGGCTTGTCCTTGAGGCTCGAGTCCACATTGACTTGCCATGTCTCGACCTCTCGATATCCCCATTTTTGGTGACCGCCGTCTTGATCAGCGAGCTGACGATGCAGCTTGTAGCTGAGTTCAGCTAGGCTCGCCGTTGCGGCTCCGTGCCAGTCGAGGGCAAGAAAGCCACCTGCCTTACCCGAAGCAGCGGGTGCAGGGGCTGCTGATGCTTCGATGAGGGTGATCTTGGTTGCATTCGCCGCGGCCCGCGAGAGGTAGTAAGCAATGCTGGAGCCGACAATGCCGCCTCCGACGATCACAACGTTGCGCGTGGGTTGAGTTGCTGCCGTCATGTTTGTTCGTGATCAAAGCTGATGATGCTGGTGTAGAAGAAAGCTCACCAAGCTGAGTGGCGAATGCTCGACCGCCATCAGAAGCTGGAATATGCACCTCGCTTGTTGGACCCTGAACTGCGAAACAGCGAAAGTCGCCGACGGCTGAGCTGCGAAGTCTCACACGGCCGGGTGATCTTCAGGCAAAAAGCGAGCATCTGAGCGCGTCTTTGCCAAAAAGCACACCGCAAAGCGCACGAAGAACAACATCCATCTTCCATCGTCGTTTGCCTCGTCCAACACCGTCTCGACGCGCGGAACACATTCACGATCTCGAAAGCTGCGCACCTTGAACTCGAATTTGGGCGAAAGCATAGAAGATGTTCTCCTTCTCGAATCCAGCGGCCACGCCGCAGCAGTCTGGTCAGCAGCAGCAGCAGTCACAACAGCAGCAGCAGCCGCAATCGTCCACACCCTTCGGCAGCACTACGGGAGGATTCAACAACTCATTCTCCACACCAGGTGGCTTCTCATTCGGCAACAATGCATCGAATCAAGGGCAGACACAGCAGCCTCAACAGGGGCAGCAGCAAGGCACACCGCAGTCATCCGGGCTGTTCGGACAGAAGCCGCTGTTTGGCACTCCTGGCTCGCAACAGCAGCCGCAGCAGCAACAGCAGCTGCAGCAGAATACAGGCTCACTTTTCGGCACACCCGGACAGACAAATCAGCAGCAGTCAAGTATGTTCGGCACACCGCAGAACAACAACACCTTCGGATCCTCCGCATCTTCAGGATTCGGCGGACAGCAGCAGCAGCCACAGCAGCAGTCATCGCAGTTCGGACAGGCCGGTACAGGCTTCAACTCTTCCTCTCCCGCTCCCTTTTCGGCGCAGCCGCAGCAGCAGGGCCAGATGTTCGGAAGTCCCTTCCACAGTCAGAATGCCCAGCATCAGCAGCACGGCACACCTCAGTCATCGCAGCAACAGCAGCACTTCCAGCAGCAACAGCAACAACAGCAGCAGCAGCAGCAACATGCTATCGACCAGCAGAGATACAACCTCGAACAGCAGAGTCAGAACATGAGCTACATCCCAGGCTACCTCAGCCGCACCAAGGTCGTCAAACCATACAAGCTGCCTGCACGTCAAGCCGAACCCACCTCTCCCGAAGCAGCCTTTCAGGACGCTGACTCGAGCATCGCTTTCGGCACTCCAGCCTCCAAGTCTGGCAAGGAGGAGAGCACCCCCTCTTCCAAGGGTCAACCATCTCCTGTCGGCCGCTTCAGCTCCAGCTTCTTCAACGAGAGGCGTGACGATGCATCCTTCAGTCGCGCTGGTTCTGTCGGACCGGGCACCCCATGGCGAGGTGGAAAGGAGAGCATCTTTGGTGCTGGTGGTCTGCGAGGTGGTCGTCCATCTGCAACACCCGCTCCCGCATCCTCCTCTGCAGGCACATCAGGCACACCCGCTCGCAAGATCTCAAGTGAATCTCCCGGCCGCACCAGTCGTTCCAACTCGACTCCTCCCGCCGCTGCCAATGCCTTCAAGGTCGGCCAGAACACTATGGATCAGGACGATGACGACGATGCGCCCCCGCAGGAGCGACTCGAGGACGAAGCTTCCGCAGCAGCTCAGTCGTCTTTCCTTGGTACCTCGTCTGGCAGCTCATACGCGAACAACTTCCGCTCGGACTCTGCTCCAGCACAGAACATTCTGCCCGGTCGATCAGCGCTTTCGACTCCTTCCAACAGCACACTGCAAAGGACGTCGCCTTCGCTCGCTCCCACTTCGGCAAATGGATTCGAATCGGCTTCTCCGTCTGGACGCGAAGACGCATCATCAGAGAGGAACTCCGCCCTCGGCTTGGCACAACGCACCGTTCTCGTATATGGACACCCAGCATGGATGGAGAAGGCTGTGCTCGAGCTGTTTGCAAGCATCGGTGGTGTCGAGCTCATCGAAGCGATTGATCTCACAGGCAGCGGTTCAGCACAGGAGCAAGCGACGACGCAGCCATCGTCGCCGCAGCTCTCGTGCTGCACTCGAATTCGATACGCCGAGTCTTTCCAGGCGCTCCACGCTCTCCGTCGAAACGGTGAAGTCGTCGCTGGAGCTTGCATGGTTGGTGTGCGATGGGAGGACGACAACTTCCACCAAGTCGCCCTCACCAACGGCATCGATGCGATCTTCCGCATGGACGTGTTCCCTTCCAGCCGCACAGCAGAGACGTACAAGGCATCGTCCAAGCCCATCGCTGTCCCCTCGATCGATGCTGCCACCGGCGCGTCGGCGATTGCTGCCGGACGCAATGGCACCAGCCTCGCTGGCTCGAACGGCTCCAACGGTCAGAACAACCGCCAATCGATCGTTCCTTCAAACAACAACCGCAGCGAAAGTGGCGTCTCGACCACCTCGGGCGCAGCATCCGGCAGCAACAACGTCTCATACCCTGCTTTCGGACGCCCGCTTTCTGTCATCAACGACCCTTCCATCGCCTTCAAGCCGGCAGCTGCCACCAGCTCGCCATTCAAAGCAGCCTCGTCTCTGTTTGGCTCCGGCGCTTCTACTGCTCCTAAGCCCATCGCTCCTGCAGCGGGCGCCAATGCAGCGGACAAGAAGCCTGCGGCTCAAGGCGGCAACACCGGCGTGCTTGGTAGAATCACAGACGGCATTTTCGGCTGGTAGACCTCCTCACCCTCAAGTCTGCAGCGAATACACACAGAGTTCACACATTGCTGTCACGCAGAGCGACTGAGTGTCCATGTGCAGTGATGAAGATGAGCAGGCCTGGTATGGGAAGTAGAGTACACGAGAACAATGCAATGCGAGATGGGACGATGTGAAAAGACAAGCTGAGGCTGAGCTCCAGCCTCTTGACGGTATATTGGGCGAGACGCTGACACGAACTGAGACGGCTCAGTAGCCACCCAGCCCATCCCATCGGCCACGCAAGCGTCGTGCAAGCTGGAAATCCTTCTTCATGAGCGTCACGCGCTTGCCGTGAATCGCGCAGAGGTTTGCATCTTCGAACAGATGCACCAGGAATGCCTCTGTCGCCTCTTGCAGCGCCAGGATGGCCGAGCTCTGCCACCGAAGGCCAGAGCCGTACTCGCCGTCGTAGGAGGTGACAAAGTCGTTGGCAATCTCGCGTACCAGACGTGCAAAGGGGAGCTTGCGCAGAAGCAGATCGGTCGATTTTTGGTACTTGCGGATCTCACGCAGCGCTACGGTGCCCGGTTTGAAACGCTTTTTCTGCCCGATGTGGCCTGCAACGAGTACCAAAAGGTGGTTTAGGTCAGTGGATGCGAGGTGAAGCGAGCAGGACCAGTGTGAACAAACTTACTCAGACTGGGCTCCGTTATCGAGTACTCGTGGAAGTTCCTTCTTGAGATGCCGGACTGAATGGACGGCGCTCGACGTGAGAGCATCGCTGATCCACCACCTTCGGACGAGCTTGCATACGAGAGCTCATCGTATGTCTCTGCGTATGTGATTGAGTCTGCGTACGAGGTTGCGTACGAGGTGTCGGCCAGACTTGGCCTTGGGCGAGCGGCCATCTTGGCTGTGATAGGACTTTGAAAGTCGCGCGAGTTTCCTCAGAGGGTCGGAAGAGAACCGACCAAGCGCGAGCTGGGCTTGCGGATCAGAATAGCAGTAGCTGCAGCCGTGTCGGAGTAGGGGACGGTGATGACGATGGGCTGATGATTTGAAGATGGTGTGAGTGTTGGTGAACGAAAGGAAAGGCTCAGGGTCGCGTCGTGCATACAGCCAAAAGTTGAATCGGGCTGAGGAACCGATGGAGCACAGCTGCGCAAATTGGGCGGAAACAGGTCACGTGCGCTTTACTCTCCACTCAAAATGGCTCAGCTTGGGTCAAAATTGAGACGCGTCGCGAGAGTGTTGTTCTCACATCAAAGCCATTTCGAGATGCAAGTCGAATCTTTAGCATATCGAAAAGGGTCTCACCACCATCATCATCATTATCGAAGCGACACGACATCGTCGAATCTGGCTGACATGGCAACAGCAAGATCACAAGCGCCGAGTGCGGCGGCAGTGACGCAGCCAGGCCCCTACGATCATCTCCCCGACTTGTCTGCCGACATCTCAATGGATGCCGATACCTCGACTCGACCCACCTTCGAACAGCTCAATGCGACCCTCATCTCGCGAGGGTATCTGCGCTTTCCGCTCAATGTCACAGGCATGCGCGAAGAGTCACTGGCTTCGCTTGCAGATGCTCTTCATGCCATGATCGCACAGCGAGAAGAAGACATTGAGGTGCGCACTGCACTGACGGCTAAGAACCGCACCCTCACTGCATCCCTGGAGCGCACCAAACGCTTCCACAAGGAGGAATTGGAACGTTCAGCAGACTTTGAGCGCAAAGCCGAAGCGTCGAAATCCAAGCTTGCACATCTCACCACACAGCTCGAGACGGAGCGCAACGCACACAGGTCGACCAAGGAAGCGCTGGGACGGCTGAGGCGGGATCTGCAGGCGATCAAAGCTTCGGCCGTGCAGTACAAGGCCGCCAACGATCGGTCTGTTGCTCGGATCAGAGCTCGAATCGGTGAAGTCACCAGCTCAGCCATCCGCTCTGCCGTTCCTGATTTCCAGATCGTTGCTTCGGCCTTCGACGAGCCGCCCGCCGCTTCATCGTCCAAAGCAGGCGCAGCAGGATTGTACGCGCAACAGGTACAGGAGCTGGAGCAGAAGCGTGCTCACCTCGTCGAGTATAATCAGGCACTGAAGCGCTTTGCCACTGAGGCGATCAATGCTGCTCGACGAGCAGACCAGGAACTGGTGGACATGGTCGAGGCGGAGGAGGACGATGCCAAGAAGAGAGATGCAACGTCGGCAGGAAAGGCAAATGGCGACTCGAGTGGCTCGCGTTCTGCTTCCTCGAGCAGCCTCAGCGGAATGGGTGCGTCTAAGCGCTCGCCTTCGAGTGATGCATGGCTTGACGGTCACCGACCTCTCTTCCAGCGTGATCTCTTCCCTGCCAATGACTCGCTTCGATCCACCTCGTCGGGTGCACTGATCTCCGGTTCGACGAGCAAGGTTCACCACCCTGCCTTGCGCGCGCTCGAGCTCACATCGACGGCCATCAGCTCTCACGTCCAGTCGCTGCTCGACCTGCGCACCGAGCGCAATATTCACCAAGCGACGCAAAGCTCTCGCCTCATGGCCGAGGCGAGAGAGCAAGCTTGGGCAGCGAGACTCGAACACGACATTCAGCAAGACTTGGAGAACGACGCACGGCTCTCGCTCAACAAGACGAACGGTCCTTCCCATGTCGGCTCGCTCGCCTCAGCCGCCATCGCAGCCTCGAGTGGAGGAGCAAACGGTGGCACGTCGCATCGCATCGATTGGCAGAGGGAGAAGGGTGATCTGGAAAAGAAGCTGGCTCAGCTCATCAAGCAGGTGGCAGTCGCCGAGGACAACATGGTGCGCAAGGACAAGGAGGTCAAGAAGCTCGCCGAGGCTGAGCAGCGCGCGAGGGCTATGCTGGATCAGACTACGTCCAGTGCCACTGTCGAAGACTCAAAAGCAGCGCACACATCGGACCAGGCTGACTCACTCCGTGCGGAGCTGCAGGCTGCGGAAGAGGAGCGTGCTCGCCTAGCTCAACGATGCGATATGCTCGAAGCCGAGGCCCGCGAGCTGCGCAACCAGCGCGATGGTACATGGTCAGAGCGTAAGGATATCACCCAACTGACCTCACTCAAGCGACTCGAAGAAGGCGAGGTAGCCGAGATCCACGCCCGCGACCAGCAGCGTCGCAACGACGTTGGCAGTCTCTCTGTCGTCGCTGAGGATATTGAGCTGCCGTCTCTCACCGGTAGTGCCGACACCGCCGAGACTGCGAGCGAAGAGTCGGTCGAAGTCATGGACGCATCCACTTCTCGCCGATCCACCCGTAAAAGCAGGCTCAGCAAAGAGGCTGTGGATCCGGGTGCTATGAGCTTTGGCGAAAGTTTCGGCAACAATCCGGAGCTGGATGCGATCTTTGGTATCATGGCGAAGAGCGCCAAGCGTCCTTCGCAGGGATCGACTCGTCGCTCGTCGCGACTGTCCGGATCGAGCGCGACCGCCGAGGAGGCCTCGACATCCGCCGAAGTAGCGTCAGAACTCGGTCAAGTCGAAGGTCGCAAGAGGAAAGCAGACGGGGAGGAGCCAGCCCAAAGCAGCGAAGAGATGGCCAACGTCAGCAGCTCGAGCAAGAGACGGACGAGTCGCCGCGTTTCTGGCAGACCCGTCGCAGAGACCGCGTCCGACGAGGGATCTCCTCGAGTCTCGAAACGTGCTCGCAGCGAGCAGCAGCCCGTGGAACAGCCGGCAACTCTGGCCGCTGGCGCATCGGAGGCCGCTGCTCTGGTTGCAGCAGCTCACCAATCGCATCGAAGGCTGTCAACTCGGGAGAAACAAGAGCTCGAGAAGTCGAAGCCCACAGCTGCCGCCCCGAGCAAGACACCAGCCCTGAACAATCGACGCATCGTCTCTGGATCCTCGTCCTCGGTCACTCGACCCACGGCTGCCTCCCTTCGTCGAAGCGAAGCGACCCAAGCCAGCGTCAAGCGTCCGCTTTCCAACTCGACCAACATCCGCGAAGTATCGACGCAGAGATCTGCGTCGAGCAAGACGCCAGCCCGCGTCGTGTCGTCTAGTTCAGTCCGTGCGCGGTCGTAGTCGCAATGCACTGCATCTGTCTGTCAACGGAATTCTGGGAATCTATGTCATTCGTTGTGCTTATATTTGTGATGTGTTTCAAACCTCGAAGTCGTAGATGAAAGCGTCGGCGAGTGTCGGCTTGACCTTCTCCTGCGGTGAGCGGTGGCAATTGTGAATGGCAAGAGCGCGGGTTAGCGATTGATACCATGGTGAACACTTTTCTGTTGCTACATCCGACGCGGCGACTCACAACAAACGCCCGGTGGACAGGATCCTGCTCGAGATAGTACTTGACGTGCTCCCTGGAGGGAAAAGTGGAGATAAAAAGCTGGTGGTAGCCCTGCCCTCGGCCTTCGGGTGAGATGTTCTCCGTCGAGCCCTTGAAGTCGAGGATGTACGGCTTGCCGTCCGAGTAGAGGCACTGGGTGCGGAAGGCGTTGAGGTCGGCCCACAGCTGCGAGCGCTGCTCCTCCGAGACGCTGTCCTTGTACTTGAACGAGACGACGTGGACGACGGGCATGGTCACGTCGGTATAGGCGCTCGAGAGGGGATGGTAGCTCGGACAAAAGGATGATGCAATGCAACTGGGCGCGTTTTCGCGGTTAAGCATTGGTCCGTGTGGAGTCCGGCGTTTAAGGGTCTCGATCAAAGCTCGTCATGAGCGAGCCCACTATTCAGGCTGCGGCGCTATCAGATAGCCTGGTCGCTTCGGATCTCACGGCAAGCTTTTGTCGGTATCGAGGCAGATGCTTCTAGAAGGTCGACCTCGCTTCGGAGCTTAGCATGACGACCGGAACCACGGTGTTGAGGCAGAGGCCGTCTCGAGATGGCGCCATTGGACGCGGGGTTAATCCTAACCAGCTTTCAGACTCCGCCGTCTCGAGGACCCACGCGGAATTGCAGTTTTGCTCAATGGGTTTTAAAGAGGGTTTGGGTCGAATCTCCATGGACTTGGCCGTTCCCATCCAACGTCGTTTCTTCCAGAGGCTTTCTTCGTGCTACATGCCGCCGGTGTTAGCGACAAGTCTTCGTGTTCTTGGCAATTGTGTACGCTGTAGCTCCGTAGCGATGGCATCATGCATTCTTGCTTGAAAGCTGAGCGCTGTTTGACATGTCCGAGTGAGACGCTGGCCGACGTCGTGTCTATATAAGCAGAGCTTTGGGGGAGGGATCATTCTCCTCGTCATAGCTCATCTCACTCGCTTCTCGAAGAACGACCTTACCCAGAGCCTCGAACACCACTCAAGAGCTTTTACACCCCAAGCCATCAGAGCAATGTCAGCACTTTCTCAGATCAGCATCTTTCCCGCTACCTCGGCGACGGCTGTCCGCCTTGCAGAGCTCTTGCAGCAGCAGCAGCCCCAAATCCGCATCCGTCTAGCCGGCCGCTCTCCTGCCAAGCTTCAAGCTTCCAACAGCAGCGTCACCGTCTCCCAGACGCCCCTGGAAGTCGGCGATGCTGCCTCGATCAAGGAAGCGCTCGACGGCAGCGATGCTGCCTACATCATGAATCCGCCCTTTTACGGCGAGCAAGACCCTTTCAGCCTCTCGCAGAAGTGGGTCGACTCGATCACAGAAGCCGTCAAGTCCAGCAGCACCATCAAGAAGATCGTCTACCTTTCCTCGGTCGGTGCAGAAAGAACGAGCGGAACTGGACCTATTCGCAACACACACATTGCTGAGCAAGGCCTGTTGGCCAACGTCCGCGATGGTGTCGAGGTATACGCTCTGCGACCGCCCTACTTCCTGTCCAACCTCAAAGCTGTTCTCCCGCTCGCTGTCGGACCGCCACACATCCTGCCGTCGATGATGGTCCCCTTCGACCGGTCGTATCAGTGGACTGACGCGAATGCCATCGCAAGCACAGCGCTCAAGTACCTCCTCGCTCCCGCCTCGCCCGACGGCGCAAAGAGCGGTCACATCACAGCCGTTCAGCTGGTGACGCAGAAGAAGACAGTTCCTGAGATCGCTCAGTACATCTCCGAGATCACGGGCACCCAGGTCAACGCCGTGCCCGTCCCACAAGAAGAGTGGTACAACACCTTCAAGAAGGCGGGCATGCACGACGACCAGGCACAGCTGTTTGTCGATATGGCCACCGGTCAGTACACGGGTTACATCGACTCGATCCATGATGAAGCTGCGGTCGCGGAGGAGAAGAAGCGGGGGGTGACAGTGGTGTCAGAGCACCCCGAGGTGGATCACAAGGCTGCGCTCAAACAGCTCCTTGCCAACGTCGGCAGCGCTCATTAGCTCGCTAAACCTTGTTTCGAGTCCTGTACCTTCATAGAGCTTCTTTAATGCACCGAGATTCAATCATGACATGCTATCTGTGCGACTGTGCCCGAAAGCCCGGCTCATGAACGAATCGCATCATTCACGGTCAGAATTTAGAGGAGGGTCAATGTTCAGCGGTTCAGGAGGCGAGAGTCGATGCCAACCACTGCACGATGGAATCCTCTCATGTCGGTCATTTGGACGGTAAATTCGCCGATCTGCATTCTGCAAGTCCCCCCGCAAACAACAGTGCACGGTCACCGGTCATCCCTCCCGGAAATCTGTACGCACTGCTCAGTCACCATCTTCGATGCCCGTTCAGAGTGCTTGAAGAGTGCCCTTGCCATCATCACACCATCTCGAAGCCTCTCCAGTCGCCTCAAAGCCTTTTCTATCCGTCAAAATGTCGATGACCATCGAAGACTGCTCTGCTGTTCGACAGCCCCGACCCGTGCCGGACACGCCCACCAATGTCCTCGAGCAACTTAGCATGAAGGGCAAGGTGGTCGTCGTCACCGGCGCCAGCGAAGGTCTCGGCTACGCTGCCATCGAAGCGTGCGCTGAAGCAGGCGCCGATGTCGTCCTCTGGTACAACTCGAACGACGTTGCCATCCAAAAGGCCGAGGAGCTCGCCAAAGCCCACTCGATCCGCGCCAAAGCCTACCAGTGCGAAGTCTCTTCGGTCGACAAGGTGCGCTCCACCATCGATCAAGTTGTCTCTGACTTTGGCCGCATCGACGTTTTTGTCGCCAATGCCGGCATGGCCATTTCCAAACCCATCCTCGAGCAGACCGTCGAGGAGTACAAGCGTCAGATGGAGGTCAACGTCGACGGCGTCTTCTACTGTGCCAAGTACGTCGGCGAGGTCTTCAAGCGTCAGGGCAAGGGTAACCTCATCATCACCTCGAGCATGTCTGCGCACATTGTCAACGTGCCCGTCGACCAGCCGGTGTACAACTCGACCAAGGCGGCCGTCACGCACATGGGCAAGTCGCTCGCGAGGGAGTGGAGGCACTTTGCTCGAGTCAACATTGTCAGCCCGGGTTTCTTCGATACTAAGCTCGGCGCCAGCCCGCGCTGCATCAACGAGGCCTACCGCATGTCCGCTCTCGGTCGACAGGGTCATGTCAAGGAAATCAAGGGTCTCTTCCTCTATCTGGCCAGCGACGCTTCCTCGTACCAGACCGGAAGCGACACGCTCATCGACGGCGGTTACACTCTGCCTTGATCATTTGGTCTCATTGCCATTCGCTCGTTGTATCTCAGAGCCCAATACGTCATCTATATCAAAGGAAATGCATACATTGACTTATCACACGAGTCCGTTGTCTGTCAACATTGTTCTCAGATATGCTAAATGATGAACGGCGCGATCATTTCGACTGAGCAGCGTTCGCCTCCGCAGCGAGCCGGATCTTCCACGAAAGCTTGTACGTCTTGAGCGCATCGGCAAACGAGCTGAGTGGCTGACTTGGAACGCCTTCCGCCTTGATCACCTTTTCGTTGCCTTGCAGACTGGATCGCACCAGGCATTGGAACTCGGTGAGGAAAGGGTCGTCTGCGAGCTTGATGATCTGCTCCTCAGCTTGACCGGGGCTCCGGATGGCCAGTGTCGTGATTGCATCATAGGCGTTTCGCACCCGAAGGATCCAACCGTCTGCAAGAACTTCGATCTCGGTATCGTATGAGCCATCTGTTGTAGGTCGCGTTGTAGGTTGAGGCATGAAGCGGTCAGCAAGAGCGTCAGGATTGCCGGGTTTGGGCAAGACTCACCATGCAAAGTGATGCCGTGGGTCAACGAGCCGATGGTGCCCTTCTGATGCTTCCAAAAGGCACTCGTGACTCGCGGTACCCGCTCTCCAGCAGGAATGGTCGACTCGTCGAATCCCAGCTTGGACAGCGATCCTACAGTCTCTGAGTGTGCGACTGTAGTGGCGTTGACCGTGTCGAGCAATGCATCGTTCTCTTCGCCCGCCAAGAAACGGATCAAGTCGATGAAGTGCGTCGCTTGCTCCACCACCGGTCCGCACGACTTTGACGTGTTCCACCAGTCGAGCTTGTGGGCATACTTGTACGCCATGAAGTATCTCGCATTGATGCACGTCGGCGTGAGACTGTTGTCTTTGAGGATCTTGCGGATCTTGAGGATGGCCTTGTTGTATCGCAGCATGTATCCGACGCTGCTGATTCCACCAGCCGCTGCATACTTGGCGGCCACCTCGTCGCAGTCCGTGGTGGTGAAAGGATTGATGGCAGCAACAGGCTTCTCCACCAGGTATGCCTTCGCCGTTGGGAAGCATTCGAGCATCTCGATGTCGGCTCGCTTGCCTGGCTGCAAGGTGCCTCTAAAATGCGGTGGACACCCAAGCACCACCAGGTCGACACCGTGGTGCTCTTCGGCAGCGGCATCGATGCTAGGGTAGACCTTTGTCGATTGCCATGCCGAGCTGACGTTGCTATCGCTGCTACAACGCTTCGCCTCGACTCTTTCGGTTGCTCGCGCGACGTTCGGATCCACTAGAGCGACGAAGCGCAGCGTGACAGGCCCATCTTGGAAGATCTGCTCAATTCGCGCGGAGTGGTTCCACGGACCCTCGGGCGAGCCTGCAAGGTTGTCGGACGAGGAACGAGGTCAGAAGACGTTAGTGCGATGGTCTAACGAGATACTAAAAGGACCCATGGTCTACCTACCAAAGTTGATCTCGCCGGCTCCGATGAGTACGACGTTGTAGTTTTCCGACATGATGGCACAGGACTCGTTGACTGCCCTGTAACGAAGCAGATGCGAACTTGAGATGATGGTCGTGACCAAGAAAGTCCTTCGACCCCGCAATTGGGTTGAGCGGCTTCGTCGTCCGACCGGTCAACATCGCCTCTTCGGCCAAGTTAGACGCCGAGCTTACGCCGATGTGTGTCCCCGTCATGGCCAGAGTTGCTAACCTTACCGTGTTAGCGCTTTGAACCTCAACACAGCTACGACGGATCATTTTGGAGTTCAAGACGCCGTGTGTGACTCGCAGACCCTGTATTTGAGCTCGCCGCTGTAGGCCCGGATATCTGACTCCATGCAGGTGGAGTTAGTCGGTCTTACCGCCCGTCAGAGGTCGTGAGAAGGGTCCAAGGCTCGGCTTTTGGATCAACTCAGCAGCGAGTCATCCGCAGAGCGTCCTTCTCAACACTCTGCAGTCGCCCAACGCCGTACCTTGACTTTGACCTACAAGCAAGCATTGCACAAGGCAACTCTTGTTCCGTACCTGCGATAAAGCCTTGCAACACAAGCGCCTTCCTTCGCGTATTTCCACCCAGCACATCGTCGGCATACTGTAGTCAGTTGACATCAAAGCGCGAATCCTCCGCATGCCTAGCCTGCCCATTCACCGCTAAACGCTCGCATCGCAAGCGCTTTCATCAGCGCCGGACATCCGGAAACCTGATACATCATCGTCGACGACATCAACATAGCCAATCCGCCCCGTTCACGCAAGCTTCCGTCCACCATGACGACGAGCGCACATGGCACAAGCGCCGACGGCGGTATATCTCTGCAAGCATTCGATCAAACAGATATCGCAGCTCGACATGCTTCCATTCAGGATCCGCTAGGCATCTCAGAGGCAGACACGATGGAATCTACGCATTCCGATACGCCTCGACAATCTCTGGACGACACTAAAGTGAAGTACGACTACACGATCTTTTCCAAAAGCAAGGTCGCTATCATTGTCGCTCTGGCATCCTGGTCCGCCTCCTTTTCTGGCATCTCGTCCAACATATACTTTCCCTCCATCGCAGCAATCTCACGAGACCTCGAAGTCACGCCAGAACTGGTCAATCTCACCGTCACGCTCTACCTCATCTTCCAAGGGCTTTCGCCATCAGTTTGGGCGCCACTTTCCGATACCAAGGGTAGACGAACCGTCATTCTCATCACCTTCGTCATCTACTTCGGCGCCAATGTTGGTTTGGCTCTCACGCGATCCTTCGCTCAGCTCGCTGTCCTGCGAGCTGTGCAGAGCAGTGCAAGCGCAAGCTCTGTTGCGATTGGAGCGGCCATCGTCGGCGATGTTGTGGATCGACGCGACAGAGGAGGATACATGGGCTTCTTCAACGCCGCTTCGCTCCTAGCTACAGCGGTCGGACCGGTCATTGGCGGCGCGATGGCAGAGACACTCGGCTGGCGATCTATCTTCTGGTTCCTTGTCGCTTTCGGCGGCGCTTTCTTGCTCTGCGCTGTCGTCATCCTGCCCGAAACCATGCGGAACATCGTCGGCAACGGCTCGAACGCACCGAAAGGACTCGCTCGCGCACCAGCCCACCGACTCTGGGTCCCAAAAGAGCTGGAACAGCCAGCATTGGACGATGTGTCTCTTCGCGGCACTTCGAGCACACAATTCTCGTTCACGCACATCTTCAAGCCGATCCTTCTGCTTCGCAACACGAGCGTGCTGGTCAGCGCGACCTACGCATCCCTGCACTACGCCATCTGGCAGATGTCCATCACTGCCGCTGCTACGTTCTTCGCAGATCGCTATGGTCTCGACGAGCTGCAAGTTGGTCTCACGTACCTCTCGAATGGCGGCGGCTGTATCATCGGCACTCTGCTCGCCGGTCGACTGCTCGATTGGACCTATCGCCGCGCGCAACGACCCACCAAATCAGGCGCAGCGCCCAGCATCGACGACGACAAAGTCAATCTCGTTAGCGCTCGACTCGGCACAGCGTGGACGTTCAGCCTGATTGAAAGTGCCGCTGTGCTCATCTTTGGTTGGTCCATCGATCGACAATTGCCCCTCGCCGTCCCCGTGGTGTTCGTCTTCTTCATCTCGTCAGGCACCATCGCATCTATGACGGCTGTGCAAACCTTCCTCGTCGACTCTTTTCCAACTCAGTCCGCTTCCGCTAGCGCTACACTCAATCTCGTCCGATGCCTCATGGCGGCGGCAGGCACTTCCGCTATCTTGCCAATGGTCAACGGCATGACGGCAGGCTGGGCCTTCACTTTCCTCACGCTGCTCATGCTTTTCTCTAATCTTGCAGTCGTGTTCTTGATACATCGCAAACCGACAACATAGAAAGCCGCATCTCAGCGCAATGCATTTGTACATTTAACATGTTTCATGGTGTGCATTGCATATACAGAACTTGAGCAACAACCAGGTGGCATTAAACAGGGCAGAACAATGCACAATTGCCACATTGCAAGCTGTCAGCCAAACACATGCAACACAGCTGATGAGTGGCTCAAAGGCCCAATGGGTGTGCAGACCATGCAACCAGGTGTGTTGCATCTCAGGAAGGATGTACATAGCAAGCTGAAAGCATCTGCTGGTGGATACAGTGCAATTGGAGGTGCCAGCAACAGCTAAGGCCATGCACGCGTGGAACACGCAACACAGCCACCACCACCAACAAAGGCAAGCAACAAGCATGCAGACCATGCAGGCATCAGCGTTACAGGTATAGTGAGCAGTACGTACCATGCTGGAAGCTAGGGTTTGATGGGCGGAACAGAATGATGTTGGCGCGTCAACGGCCTGGCAAGACGGTCCAGGGTTAGGGTTACAAGGGGGTCCCTTTTACAAATCGATTAGGGTTGCTTAAGCAAAGTTGTAGATAATGGTCAAAATAGCAACTTTCATTAGTCAACCCTACGCAAGTTGCATAACATTATTTTCCGTAACGGCCCCGTGAAGTTTGGCCCAACCCAAGTCGACACGCCAAAAATGGAAGATATTGGACACGCTCCCATAAGTAACTATACCTCAAATGATGCCAAAAGAATATCCTGAAAGTATCACAGCGTTGGTGCAAGTGGTTGTTGATGTATGGTGATGTTTACGTTTTCTGACATTTTGGCCAAAGCTGTAAGGGTCCCCCCTTACAAAGTGGGAAAATGGACCCCCTCCGATGTCTCTGCTACCTTAAATAAACTTGTTGGGAGATGTCAGGAGAGGATAGCATCAAAGTTTCAGACAATATGATGGAGGTACGGCCGAGCTATGGCGGGTCGACACAGTCAACCCTAACCCTACTTTTGTCGACATCACACAGGCACCCGTCACACAAGTATGGTTGGCTATGTACAGGGTTTTCTATTTTTTTGTGGGGTTTTGTGGGTGTTCTATATGTACA